GAAAAAACGGAAAAATGTGCAAAATATTACGTTTTTTTTTTTTTTTATGTGGACAACTTTTGTACCAGCAATACTGGTGAATGCAATAAAATGACGAGAAAAATAGACACAATAAAAATAATGCCCTAAAAAAAAACCTCGCACTCAAGCCAAATTCCTAATAAAAAAAAGTTTTTTTTTTTTGGAAAAGTTTCTCATAGACAAAATTTACAACAAGCATTAACTCTAAAACTATACCATCCAAAATATGTAATCCATTAATTAAATGATCTTAACAGAAATCAATAAATACACATAACAGATGCTCAGAGAACAACATCAATTCCTGATGAGCTTGCTAAAACATTGATGCATACTTTTAAGTAAACTTCAACAATAAAATTTATAAATGAAATAAATAGTTCAACCGAAAATATACCATCAAACACAATAAGAGACTTAAATAGCAGTAAACAAATCGAGCTAAACTCAAACATAACACTTAACGAAATGGAAAATGCATTTAAAAAATATCAATGCAAAAGCTGCGACAGCATACCATATTGGTTTATTACAACTCTTGGCAAAACAGCCTAAACATTTCTTTTGAAAGTTTACTATAATATTTAGCACACAAAAGTCAAACCTAACAAATGCAATAAGGGAATAATAATTCCTATTCCTAAGCCCACAAAAAGTATAAGTACATTCCACTGAAGGATACAGGCCTATCATACTTCTAAATACAATGGCCAAAATTGCGGAAAAAATCATAAATAAAAGACTAATAACCTATAACCTATATAACATAGAAGTTATGGAAAAAAAGAAAGTAATATTCACCTAATATTAAATATTTAAAAAAAAATAATGTACAATAAAAACAAATTTATGGTTATTCCTGGCCAAACGAATAATAGGTTCAAAACACCATAAGGGCCGATATTACAAGAAAAAGGTATATAATTGGTTCAACTAAGTCAATCAATTTTTGTAGAACCACTTAGCGCGACCGTCCGGTCTGAGCCCCCCCTACCATGTCAAAGTGGGTCCCATTGGGGGGGGAACCTAATCTAATCTAACACTTCAGCGATATTGTTGAAGATGACATCAACAAAATTAAACATAACGACCCAATCAAATACCGAAAACAAAATTAAAATATAACTAACATAATAACATTAGCAGCAGAAATATCAATCAATGGTTTTATAAACTACAATATTAAATCCAAGATTCTCTGATGGAACGACGAGAACAAAAGGCATATACATAATAAAAAGAATACCCTATATATGCACAAAAAAAACCCAAGAAAACTTCATTGAAATAAAACAACTTTGCGCTCAATCCAAATCTCGAATAAAGAAAATAGTAAAAAGAACTCATGGAAAGAGTTTACAATAAGTATTAACTCTAAAATGAACTCATCCAAGATATGGAACAAAATCCATTCATTATAACAGAAATCAAGAAATTCACATAGCGGAAGTCAAAAATATTCAACATAACGACCAACCAAAAATCGAAAACAAAATATTTTTTTTATTTAAAATAAATAAATTTACAATAAGTAAATGAGGAAATAATTATATAAATTAGACTTGAGACATTAATCATGAAAGCTATCCAGTGATAGGATCTTTTTGGCGACTTTCGCTAGGCGAGTAGATTGTGAATTTAATCTAAAAGATCACGACTCAAGCGTCTTTTAAGACGGCGAGGAGGGTTACCGGAAATTGAGACGGTGTGCTGGTTTGCAATTAAAAGGTTTGAATGATGGAGTAATATGGAGTGGAATTTTTATACTGAGTTTTAACTAAATTAGCAACTAGTTCAATATTTATGTCTTTGTGAAGGGTAAGATTAGAAAGTAGAACATTAGGCGGACGTGATTAGAAAACACAGTTAAAACATAACATACATAATAACCTCAGCAACAGATATATCAATCAATAGTTTTATAACTACAATAATAAACCTAAGGTTCCCTGATTGAACGACGAGAAAAAAAGGCATATACACAATAAAAAATGTATGATTATTTAATTATTATACATATAAAATTTATATGTATGCCATTATATTTTATACTTAAAAAACCAAGAAAACTTCATTTAACTAATTTTTACGCTCAATCCAAATTCCATGGAATGACGAAAGACCTACAATACACAATAAAAAGAATACCCTAAACATTATAAAAAAAAACAAGAAAACAATAGTTCCTATTCCTAAACCTGAGAAAGATATATATTCCACTAAAAGATACAGACCTATCTAACTTCTAATTACAATGACAGTAACTAAGAAAAAAAACATAAATAAAAGACTAATATAAGTTTTGGAAAAAAAGGAAATACTAAAGTAATAATAAATACTAAGTAGGTAATACAATTGGTTCAATAACTTAAACTAGCTTAAACTATTTAATATTAAATATTTAAAAAAAATACAATAAAAACAAATTTGTGGTTATTTCTGGGTAACCGAATCGTGGCTATTTTTATATTTAGCACAATATTTATTTAAACTTGTAGTAATTTAGTCAAAATATTATTTAATTTAGTATCTATTTAAGATAATATGTATTTAATATATAAATATATATTACTACAATGCATGATTTTTTTTTTTAGTCCATATTATTAATTACTGTTACGCGTGAGCTTTTATAAGAACAGGCAGATAAACAACACGACATGATTTTTCATGTAAAATAAATTATATATTATAATGTAAAAGTTCATTTGAACGTGTGTAAACATTTTTTTTTTTAAAACGCTAAAAAAATAATAATTACACCCTAGGTTCGCATATAGTTGTACCTTAAGGACGCGATCGTAATGGTTGTGTTTTTAAATTAGGCGGGAATATAATAATTTTGCATAATATTGTAATATAACATTATTTCCACGGACAGAGAGCGCACTAAGTTGGTTGATAAGCAGCTGTTCCTGAGAGCAATTTCAATCGCCTTGCGATAACGCTGATAACATCGTCCGTTGACTAACCAGTATATCTTTAATCGTGCCCGTGACAAAACCGTTTTATCTATACATCGTGGTTAAAATGGGAATTAGTAAAACAGCCGAAAATAAATCAGCCGAACCGTATTTAAGCAGAAAATAATACAGTCGACTGTAATAAAGAGATAAGATCAGATTTTCCGAAAAACAATAACGCGTGATAAGAAATAAATAAAAGGGAGAAAAATTACGTACACATTACTTTTAAAGTGAAAAACAAATTAACCAGATGCCCCAAGTAACTAACTTCAATGTTTTTTGAATTTTTAATCAATGAAGTTAATTGGGAAATATATTGGTTTAGTTTTGATAATTAATCCAACATGTGTAAGTGGATCTTTATCTACACTTGAATAATTTAAATGCTTTCAAATAGTTGAAATTAAAAATAATAGGTTATAATTTTAAACTTAATTAAATAATATATATTTTTATTATAGAAAATGTACAAAATGTTATCGTTTTATTAGTTTGTGTTTGTTCAAAACTGTGTCGGAATTATATCTCAAAATTTGCACCGTTCTTTCAAATTTTTCAATTTTTGTTCAAGATATCGACGTTTAAACTTTCAAATTGTATAATTCAACATTTTCTGATTGAAAAAAAGCTTATAAAAAATGTACAAGTTGATAATTAGTAGAATTTCGGGCGATTCGGTTGAAATATTTTCGGCTAAAATACGATTCGGCTGTTTCATAGCCTCTCGTTAAAATCACGGATTAAGATATTATCTTAATTCGTGGTTAAAATGTTAAATCCATAGATAATAAATACTACGGTTAGGTTAGATTAGATAAACCCGACTTTGACTCGATCACTTGACATTATTACCATCGATATTCATAATTCCTGCAATACCTTAATTTATTTTTGTAATATTTTAATACTAAATTCTACTATATTTGAATGTAAAATTACTTCGTCACGGGATTCCAGACGAAGTGAAGTTTTTATTTCGTGTACAGTGTCGTTTCGCCGCCGAACCTTTTTTTTTTGCGTTTAAACATTTTTAACATTATACATTTTCACTGTTATACATAGGTACTATTTTGGGCACTTCGTATTAAAAGTCCCAAACAAGTCCCCTCCGTAGTTTTAAAATACCTTCCAAAGATTCCACTAGCCTGGCATTCGCCCGAACCTAATCGGTCGGTGGGTCATTATTATTTTACACACACCCCTCCCCCTCGATCACAGGAAAATACAAATACAAAGAAAGAGATACAGTTGTACCAAACCACAGTAGTCAAGTTCAGTGGCGTACTTGCCGGCGGTTTGGGTTCATCCCCACAGAAGCGCACCACTTCTATACCTAATGATATACATAGTATATAGTATTATAGTATAGATATACCTATTTTTTTTAGATTCAGAGCGTAGCGAGTAACGTATTGGTTTTACAGTGATGTATATTTTTGTCTTCTTTTTTTTCTTTAATCCCGTGTTTTAGGTTAGGTTCCAAAAATCAGAAGGAGTACTTTATAACGAAGTGTCCATAATAGACCTATATATAGTAATTAAAATCCGACCTGCGTACGTTAAAAATCAAACAAGTTTCAAGCGAAAAAAAAAAAGATTTTGCGGCAATACAAACAGAGGCGAAACGTTGGCTACGTAATGAACTAGAACCGTTACCCGTACGTTAGTATCACGAATTGAGATATCTTAATTTGTGGTTAGTACGCGACCGGGCTACGTTACCGAAAACGGTTATCATTTTCGAATAACTGTATTACACCGTTATACTAAATAGTATAGCAAACGAAAAAGACCACTGACAAAATTCGAAATTATTCAAATACTTTTTGAAATACTCGGATATGTCTTCCAAATATCTTTTTTCAAACTTTTTACGATCAAATAAATATTCTGAATTCGTAGCTAGTTACTGATTGCGAATTCAAAGTAAAAGTATTCTTTACCAGACTACACAGTACTAATAAATTACTCTATGGACTGGACTACACTTGGCAAATAATTATTTGGCCATACTGATATATCTGAACGATTATAGTGATAAGTGATAAAAGACGCCACATAAAATATTTTGGGTTTTTCGTATTTTGTTTATTTTTTTATTTCTAGAAGTCGAATCCAATTAATAAAAAGTTTATAAATTTAATATAAATAAGATAATTGTTTTAAAATGAAGGATGAACAAAATGATGTTAATGAACCAGAAAATTCTCGAGTATTTGTACTTTATGACAAAAATTTTCCAATATCCGAAAATGAATTTAAGGAAATGTTTGGGAATTATGGGACTGTCAAAAATATTTACATTGTTAAAGACCGCAGCAATGATAGTGTTAAAGGTAATATAATTTTAAGTTAGATATATCATAATTGTTAACATAAATATTCTAATAAAATTTGCATTGACAGTATGAATAAAAGCAGGTAACAATATCAAATATTGTTATTATACTATTATGTTACAACAATATTCAGTAAACGTGTACATGATATCATAACTATTATAATAAAAATGTATTTAATAATAATGTAAATAATTGTATTTATGTTTAAATATTATTATTATTTTAATTAAACTTATATTTTATACTTTAATACAAACCTTTGTATTACTATTTGGACAAAAAATTATTAATAAAACAAATTACTTAATTCATCTATCTATTAGAGTAGATAGATTCTTTCACATTTCATTAAAATAATATTAATATTATAAAATACAGGTGTTGCGTACATAAAATATTCCAAAGCTTCGGAAGCCTTCAAAGCTATAGAAGCCATGAATGGGTATAAATTAGAAGCATCAAATCGTCGTATGAAAGTTTTAATGGCTACTAGGTATTATTTTATTTATTTATATTATTTTATTATGGATAAAGTTCAATTCACAAAATAAAAATATGACAGCAATGAAATATCAGCAATCAGCATTAAATATATTGATAAAATATGTTAATAAATCAAGTTTTTTTTTTGTATTATATCTGCAAGATACTACTTAATATTTATCAAATTTAAACTGATACAAAAATGCAGTGGTCATTAAAAGCCAAGGTCACTAAATAACACTATTGCCACTGCAGAAGTATAATATTATATAGACACCTACTAAACTGTATAAATATATTTTGGATTTAGAAAATATTTTTAACCACTTGAAAATGCCCTTATTGTTCACACTGTTATTATTTTATAGCCCAGGTCATGTACGAAGTAGTTCAGAAATGGAATATAATAGAATATTTATCTTTGTACCAAAAACCGACCAAGAATCAGATTTAGAAACCATTTTTAGTGAATATGGAGAAATTTCTAAAGTCCATATTGTTACTAATAAAGAAACTGGAGAATCGAAAGGAATAGCTTTCATTACTTTTACAAAGTAAGAATCATTTGTTTGTTTGAATAAATCATTATTTAAATGATTCATTTAAACAAACCAATAGAATAGTATTTTATTAATTTGATCTGTCTATGATTTAGGCCATCTTCTGCTGCTTTAGCTATTGAACAATGTGGACCAAATTATAAAGCCGTGTTTGCTAAACCAAAACATGATGATGGACCGTCTGTATACCCTCCAACTTATAACAGACACATAGACTCTAAAAGTAATTTTCATATATATGCATTTCACAAATATGTTCATCAGTTTTGTTTTATATTTACAAATAATTCATTACATTATTAATTAATTTGTATAGATCTAACAAATAGTTATGCCTTGCTTGCACCACCACCACATCCACGCCGTGATGAACCTAGTGTATTAACTGCTTACACATCACCAATTGTAACACATAATGAACTTTATAAAATTTTAAACATTGCTCCCGAACTGGAGTTAGTTCAGGAATTACCACGACAAGTAATACATATGTACATTAATTTATAAATTTATTCTGAAGCACAAAAAGTATTTGCAGACAGAACCTGAAGTTAATCATGAATACTTGTATTATACAGTTTCTATTTAATTATAACTAGAGACCGGATTTATATGTTCTTAAAATTCACAAAAAAGCACTTAATGACGTTAAAAAGCCTTGAAAAAAAAAATATAAAAACGCAAAAAAAAAATTTAGATTTTTAATGTCTCCCCTCTAACAGATATAATTTATAAATAACATTTTCTAACATCACAGAAATTATTAATAAAAAATAATTATTTTTATAATATGCACAATTTTATTTAAAAGAAATTATTTTGTAAATCAATTGTGTAGTGTTAGGAAATTTAATTTAATAAGTTAAAGCTATTAATAGGAAAGAGGGACGTTTAAACTTCTCTATGGTTTTTGCTTTTATAATTTTTTAAAATGCTTTTTTCAGATATTTGTTGATGTTTTAAAACACTTTTTTGTGAATTATAAAAGATTATAAATCCGGTTTCTAGTTATAGCATTTAGACATAACTACGGTTTATTTTAACAAATATTCCTATACTATAATGCTTAGAAATTAGAATAAATTCATTGTCTCTATTTTAATGTGCTATCTATACTAAAAATATTACCTAAAATGAACTTTGTATGTTATATGCTAGGTACCTATAGGTATGTTAGGTATAAGTATTCAAATTTTAATTTAAAACCATTTAATTATAATATTAAATTACATTGGCATTCGCATTCTTTTAAATATATAAATAAATAATTTATGTATATAAATTAATTAATTAAACGCCTGGAGTATTATGATAAATGTATTATACAACCAGTTTCAAATTAAAAATTCATCATCAAATAAATTATAAAATTAAAAATTATAATGCAAATGAAAAAAATTACAAATTATATAAATTATACAAATTGGTCATTTTACATTGAAATAATTTATTTTAATATAAGAGATTATTTAAAATTAGTTATTGTTAGACATAGATATGTTAAGAAATTTAAATTATTTGGTTATTATTCATTATCTAAAATGTATTGATATAAGGTGTTATTTTGTAAATCGGTTTGTACATTTAAAATATTATAAAAATTATTTTTCTTTATTTCATTATGTACGTGTAATTCCACTAAAACTGATTTAATGTGAATGTTATTTTAGGTATTTAATATTTCTAAGTCTGTATAAATATCAAAACTTATTTTATGGTTATTTTCAAAACATGTTTACTGAAATTTGTATTAGGTATAACTATATTAACTGATGCTATAATACCACATAATTCTAATCAACCTTATTCTAAATAAAAATCATTTTTTAATTCAATATTCTATAGACTTAAACGTATTCTATTAAATAAACATAATTATCAACACGAGCTCAATATTATCTATAATATAGCCCATAGAAATAATTTTAATTTAAATACTATTAAAAAAATTCATAAATGTACTAAAGATAAAACACAACTCACTAAATAATGTTGTTAACTATTGTAATATGAAATATCAAAATATGATGTCTAATAAATTCACTAAAATTTTTAACAATAATACAAATAATGTAAAAATTGCCATTCTTTTAAAAATGCTGGTATATATAAACTTAAATGTAACTGTAATAAATTGTATATAAATAAGACAATTAGAAATTTTAAAATAAGATATAAAGAGTATTCGTGTTCGTAAAGAACACATTTCTGAAATAAAATTTTAAAATCTGCCCCTAATTCAAATTTTGTTAAATTTATTTAGAAAATAACTATAAGTTTTGATATTAATACAGACCTAGAAATATGAAATACCCAAAAAAAAACAATTAACATTAATTCAGTTTTAGTAGAATTACGCATACAAAATAAAATAAAGAAAAATAATTTTAATAATATTTTAAGGTTGTACAAACCGATTTTAAAAACAATATCTTATAGCCATAAATTTTAGGTAGTAAATAATAACTAAATAATATATATTTCTTAACATATCTATGTCTAATAATAATCTCTCCTTATAAAATAAATTATTTCTATGTAAAATAACCAATTTATATAATTTTTTCTTTATGTATTCCTTCATTTATTTTTTCAAATTCTGGCGCTTTTGACTTTGTGATTTACCTGATGATGAATTTTTAATTCCAAACCTATTGTGCAATAACACATCCTAATACTCCACGCGACGCTTTATTTATTTATTTATATACAAGTATTAACCATTTAATAATTTTGTTTTTATTTTATAATTTTAACATTTAGTTGATATTAAATTAATTATACTAATTTCTTTATTTCTGTGGAAAATATTGAGCATCACTTAAGATCCTCATGTTAAGACCCTGGATTAATTACTTATAATTTATAAATAATATATACATATTTATAATTTATATAGATTGTTAAATTGGTACTTATGTTTAATAAATAAGAACAAGAAATAAACTGAGAAAAAGCAAAAACAATAAAAATCATTGTATCAGATTAAATTAGGGGAAAATATAAACAAATACAAGATATTTAAATAATATACTTTGCATTAAATTAAGTAGTCATATATTATATTTTAATATAGTAAGTTGTGTATTTCAAAATGCAACATTTTTCCAACATATTTTAATAAAAATACATTCATGAAACTTAGATAATTTACTGATTATAGTGAATCATTTCTTAAAGATACTACAACAATGGTTTAACTGTTTCTAGTTTATTCTGAATAAATATACATTTTTTTTTTTTTTTTCATATATAATTTTATTTTTAATGCAGCAAGTGTATGATAAGAAGATATTTCAAGTTATATATAGTACAATTGCAGCAGCTGAACATGCTGTAAATCGAATTAATGGATTTGAATACCCACCTGGACATCCAATAATGCTAGAATTTAGTAATTCTTCTTTGTAAGACTAAATATATTCTTTAGTTTAATAAACTTAACTCTAAACTAATTTATAAAAACAAATACATTTATAGATCTATTTCATCAGCTGTTGACCCTATAGCAAATAAAATATCCAAGGATATAGAAGTACTATCTAGTACTGTTACAAAAGCATTAGCAGTGATTAAAAATGCAACAACTGGTAAAAAAAAACCTATATTATGTTTATTGTTTATATTAAACAATTTCAAATATGTTATTTAGCTTCTTTAAGTATACCAGATGATTACAGTTTACCACTAGCATCTAAAAGAGGAAATGAAAAAAATCTTTTGTCATCAACAGATAATTCATTCAGGTAACCTATATAATTTTATCCTAATTTAATTTTTTTATTTCTTCTCTACATGAATTTATTTTTACTTTTTAAATGTGTGTGTTATAGATTATTTTTTGTATGTAAACCAGTTGTTCCACCAATGCGCATATTAGAAGATTCCTTTAAATTATTTAAAGGGTTAAGAAATATTAATGTTATTGATGGGAAGAACTATGGTTATGTTTCTTATGATAATATGGAAAGTGCAGCAAGAGCAATTAATGTAATATACATTTTTATATTTTCCATATTATTTTCTATTTATTTATTTTTTTTATCTATGTATACTGAATTATTTAATTTCAATATTTTTAGTGTTTAAATGACCACAAAATATATAACAGTCGTTTAAAAGTAATGGAAGCTGAACCCAGAGAACCCAATCGTAAACGTATGAAACCTGACCCATTGTAAATATAAGTAAGTAAATTAATTTTTTTTTTTTATTTTATTTAAAATGGTTTGGACCCCTTATCTTCATGTATCTTAAATACTAATGAATTTCTTGAAGAATATTAGTACTTTAATATATACATTTTTTTTATTTTGTGCATAATAAATTGCAAATTCAATAAATTTAAAATCTATTATTTTCGTTTAACCCGCGTCAAATAATATTTACTCAATTTTAGTTTACATTATTTAGTATTTGGCTAAGAGAAAATTGTTACTTATTTGTTTTTTATTTTATGAAGCTTTATTTTTTTGACTTAGTGAATTTTGTACCATTAATAAATTTATATGGTTATGTTTAAATAGTTTGAAATTATAACTTATTTTAGTCATGTAAATATTTTAAAATGGTTTAAAACATCAAACCATTTTCAAAATTAAAATTGTTAGGTTAGGTAAGTAGCATAATAAAATAAAACAAATTAACATATTAATGGTTTTTTGAAACCTTATTACTTGATTAGATTTGTTTGTACATTAAATCGTCAATTATTATTACCAATTGTTTCAATTAATATCTTTTCTGTGAAGTAAAATTTCAATTTCTTTTTTGATAATCCTATAAGTATTTATTCTAAAATTAAATGGCACAGTATTTTTGATTTAATTTCAAAAATATATATTAAATCGGTTTATAAAATATTTACTTAACCATTTTAATTTATAAACGAGTTTAGTATGTATTCAGCTAAACCATTTTAATATGTTTCAGAACTGTTAAATTTCAAATCATTTAAAGTCCTTATATTAATAGTAGGCATTCGGTTTTATTTTTTTATTTTGTAAGTTTTATAATGTTTTCTCAAGAGTACCGATTGTTAAGTATGATATTTTGAGTAATATTGAATGTAGAAATATGAGCACATTCATTTAAAACTGCACTATAAAGAATATATATGTATATATTTTGATATTAAAAAAAATATTTTTAATTGAAAAGAACTCAGGTATTATAGATAGAAAGTCGGATTAGTGGATGAATGTTGAATACATTATTATATTAAATTAATTATAAAATCATATTATTATATTATGAAATATGTTTTAACCTAGCATCAATGGCATTCTCTAAAAATAAGTGAGAAGTGGCATCGGTCTTTTTGATGGAACTATACAAAATGATAAATTTTAATTCATAATCAATCAACTATGTTAAATATATTATTTTTTTAAGTCAACACAATATTAATATTATAGTACACATTTTTCAAGTCTAGGTGGTAATGATATAATATATGGCTATGGTAAATACCCTAAGTATAAATAATAAACAAAATATAACCCCATAGACTAGTTATTACTTTGTAAACAACATAGTAACGCCGATATTTAATATACTAAAAATTAATGGTAATCTAACCTAAGAAAAAACTATTATAATGTAGTCAAAATAATATGCACGGAAATAGTGGCATCGGTCATTTAAACAGATATGTTATTAATAAACAGTATTATTCCTTGTATAAAAGATATAATTATTATAAAATACAAATAAACTGTAGTTTTGAGCTTAGGAGGGGTTAACATTTAACACCAAATATCAGTTTTCTGTGCACTAGAAATAAATATATACTTGAAATTTCAAGGGAACTCATTTTAAATGAAAATACATTTATTGCTCGATGAAAACCTATGTTAAAAATATTGCACGATTTGGAAAAATGAATATAATATTATAATGTAAATTCTGTTTTACTACTTACCTACCCTAATATTAATTTAACTATCAAAAATACATTAATCCTGTTATTATGATTTTTTACTTCTAAATATTTTATAAAATTAATTATATTTATTATAGTCTCTACTGGTATAATATGTTTATGTTCATTAAAATTTTTCATTAAGAATTCAAAAATGACCAATGCCACTGATTTTGGGTTAAGATAGAATACAGAGCTAATTTTATTCACGTTTTTAAGGAAATAATTCATAACACCATAAGAAAATATTTTTAAGAGACTTTAAACTAATAAATACTTCATTATACATATTTAATTCATATAAAACATAAACTAATTTGGATCTGGCCAAAGTAAGCTAACATAAATTTATATTTGATTATACACAGTAGTAGCTTGTAACACTAAACTCTTCAAATGTTTATAAGAAATGAATTATCATAAGTATTTAAGTATATTTCTGACTTATCAAGTTGTTATTATACTTGTATACAAAACTAGTTAAAATAAACACTTTGAAAGTTTGTTTAGATTAGGCATTCAATTTTTATTTTGAAAATTGTTTATTCTGGAAACAAACTAATTTAAAATTATATGCATGTTCTATAATTTTTAGTAGTTTGATCAATAAATTATATTTATTATTTTTTGGTTATCAAGTATCAAATATAGTATAAATTCTCTCACAATCCATAGGTTATTGTAAATTGGTTTACCATTTGTAATATTCATCCATCTCTGCATCAGTCAGAAAAAAAGTATACATAAAAAAAAAAAATCTTAATTTTAGAATTTAGATTCTACAGAACAGACAATGTACTTGGTTATTCTTAAATCTTTATACAAATTATCCTCATGTGCTCTTTTTCATCTCTTTTTCAACCTTCACATTAACAATTTTTAATGAAGTTTATTATTAAAATATTTACTTTGAGTTTCTTACCAACTGTGTAGATACTAGTAATATACTTAACTGGATGTAATATACATCACTACCATAACTTTATAACTGTATGTTTCGTAAACCTATTTTTGATGGTTTACAATTTGTTTCATTTATGATTTCAGGAAAGTAAATAGCACAACAAAACCAAACAATTTTTAAAACCCACTAAAACCACTACAGAAACTTGTGTTTGTCTACAATAACCAGACAAATTTTCACAAAATCTACCAATTTCATGAGACACTACAAGATATTCAACGACTGTTACCTATATTGTGGACACAAAAGACACTTTTAAACTAACTAACAAATTTTACAGTATTATACTTTATTAAATAGTTTAGTTTTCAATTCTGAAAACATATATACATAGTTATAAGATTTTAATTGTTTACTTCGTGGATTTCTATACCATAATGTTATTAAAATAACTATTATAATTTGGATATATTTTAAGAAATTAAATTTAATGCAAGACTATTATTAAAGCTGGGTAAAGTCAAAGTAAATTAAGTTGAATTAATACAATAGTTATTTTAGAGACTTTTTTTTTTTAACATTAACCATTTTGTACTATAAACATATTTATCGAGTTCACACGACTGACTAACATTTATTAAACACATTAGGCGTGTTTTGGTATTGTAAACAGTGTAATGATTAAGTTTATGATTTTGTTTTTCAGTTAGTTACGGTTACTGAATCGCCAAAACATACATTTGTTAATTTGGTTAGCTAAGAAATGCATTACAATTTACTTTATTTCCTACAAAAAGTTTCACCAAAACTTCACTAATAAAATTCTGTGGATGTAGATAATTAATTAAATGAGGGGTATATTCCATTGTAACTATAACTGGCTACTACTATAATAGTATATACACTACAAACGATAAAAACGCGTATCACATTTTTGATTAAATAAAAAATTATTATTATTCTGTTCATACATTTCACACTTGTTTATCTTAGTCAAACTAGTAACTGAACATCAGTAAACTCTCTTACCAACTTGAAATATATGGTTACAAAATTCAATAAACAGTTTACTCTCATAATTACAAAGCCAAAACACACCTATTAACAAAAGATATACTAAATTTAATTTTAAAAAATCATCAGGCATTACTTAATTAATTGCTTTATTAATGATTTCAATTTTTGTGTTATAAAAAACGTTATATCATTTACCCAAGGTAATAATTTAATGGAGTTAATGTATAACTCAAATTAAATTATTTGCTAACTAATTTGATTCATTTAGATACAATGGAAGTAAATTGTTGTTAACTAATTAATTTGATTCTTTAATATTTAATTTTTCAAATTCACATTCCATTAAATTCTTTGTTTTTGAAAATTTTGTCTTACAAACATACATTATAGGAAAATCAATTTCTTGTGTACAATAGTGGAACAAAAATTTATATAAATCTGTGATATTGATTTTATTTTTCCTTTTTATCATTATTTTATTTCATTAATTTTTAATCAATCTTTATGGAAAATTAGAACGAATTAAAGCATTTGGAATCTGATAACATTTTCCTTTTGTGTGTTGTAAATTAAAAGTTTATTATATATTATATTATATTCTAAATGAATAAATTATAGATTTTATTTTTGTATTATGTTTGAAAAACTATTAGCTACCTGTGAATGTGCATTTGACATAAAAAATTAGTATTCAAACACATTCAATAGCTATTTAATTAATAACTTTGATTTGATATTTTATTTAAATTTGTTTCATTATCTTTTATAATTTAATTGCCTTAATTGCCCTAATATAAATAGGTAAATATATACTTATATTTACAGATAATTTTTATACATGGTATACATTTAATTTTGTTATAATATTTATGTTTATTTGATATTTTAATTGAAAATTGTTATAAGTTCGGTTACTTAACATATTTTCTATTGGTACCTGTAAACCAATTGATATAATTTATAGAATTATTATTTGAGTGCAATAAAAAGTATTTAAAACATAATTATTTAATATGATATATCTAATATATTATATGGGTTAGGTCGATTAAATGTTATTTTTTTTTTTTTAAGAAAATCAACTATTTTCAATTAGGTAATTTATTATTATTTCAATTAAAATTACAAGCATTTTTATTGATACAATAATATTGAACAATGTATACTATAAGGTGTTTCGTATGAATAAATATATTATAGCCATTACATTTTATTAGAATTGGACTGTGACCAATGAATTTATTTTAATCAACTGACCATATAACTTATTAAAAGATGTCAAAATCTATTAATTAAAAAAATAATATTTTGTAAAATAATTATATTTTTAAATCTAAAGTGCGTTTTAGTATTTATTTATCAAATTACCATATTTTGTCCCCTCAATTGACCGTGTGCCATCCTTACATTTTAGAATATGAGGGACGTCCAGAAAGTAAGATTTCAACATATGTTAAAAATTGAAAAATGAATAAATTTAAATGAAATTTACAAGATAAGTGTCAAAACATGTCATTGTTTCTCTACATGATCGCCATTGAGGTAAATACATTTTTTGCCTAAGAACCAGTTTTTGTATACCTTTCGCTCCACTTCTCGAAGCCACTTTTTGACAGCATCTTGGACGAGGAGTGATCATTTGAAAATTGTTGTCCGCCCAAAACTCCTTCAATTTATTGAAAAGATGGTAATCCAATGTTACCAGGTCTGGGGAATAGGGTGGGTGAGTCACAATATCCCACCCAAATGACACAAACAGGTCCTGAGTAAGATGGGCAGTGTGCGGTCTAGCGTTGCCATGAAGGAGTGACACACCACGAGTCAGTATTCCTCTCCTTTTGTTTTTGATTTTTTTTTTTTCAACTTTGGGAGCGTCTCATAGTATGCAGTTGTATTTATGGTGGTTCCTTTAGACATAAAATCGACCAACAATATCCCTTTCCCGTACCAAAAGGCAGATGCCATGATCTTCCTCTCTGAAAATTGTTTTTTGAATTTTTTGGTTGATGGTGAATGGGTATGGCGCACTGCAGAGACTGCCTTTTTCATCTTAATAATATTGTGACAGTTACAATTGAGTCAAGAAAAGTTTCACCCTCGCTTTCATTACGCTTCAAAAATTCGCATGCAGCCAAAACACGATTTTAACGATGTTCTGAAGTCAACATTTTTGGAACCCACCTTGCATACAACTTCTTAAAACCAAGTTTTTCTGATATGATTTCACCCAAAAGATTTCATGAGATGTGTGTGAAATTTTCACTAAGGATGTCAAGAGTCACACGGCGATCATTGCGAACTTTATTTTCAATCTGCTGCAGAAGCTCATCTGAAATGGCGGATAGTGTTCCACTCCTTTTTTCATAGTGAGTGTTAGTACGGTCTTCTTTAAATAACCTAACCCACTTAGTAACATGCTGACGAGTCATCACCTCGTATCCATACGTTTCCACAAGCTAACGATGAATACTGACCGCGGATTTGTTACGCAAAGTAAGGAACCGAATTACAAGGCGTACCTCACACTATAGTAGGTGAGAGATCGGAGGACGTTTGATGCATTTGACTGATGTGACGATATTTCGTAACGGACTGAGGCGTTTAATGATTCGTTTTGACCGTTAAAATTTCCTCTACCTACAAGTGGTGACAATTTTGAAAAACAAAATTCCCTTCGTCCTACACGACCCTTATAACTTTATTTTCTGGACGTCCCTCGTATTAATTTATTAGGTTTACCTATATGTACCAACAAATTTAAGGAATAATTTGAATTTCATTAGTAAATTATATTGAGCAGATAGATACTAATAAAAAAAAAGAAAATGTAGGATTCTGCTTGTGGATAGGAAGTTGGGAAAGTAGGATATGTTATAATAACTAAATTTATATACTGCATAACAATAACACATTGCATATGAAAAATGATTCAGAGCAGAATTCAGTTAAACTTTTTTTGATAAATTAAAAATGTATTAATTTGTAATTACAAAATAAACTACAATAGATATTGTTGTTTGTAACAAATATTATCATACGTTCAAATTTAAAACCCATGCAAAATAAAAATAATAGTATATATATTTAGCAGTAGGCTATTAATTTTTCAATTTAACATATTTACAAATTTACTATACAAATAAAATACAACATTACACTCAGCTTTTAGTTTTACTATTAAGCAGGGTTGGTAATATACGTGTATACAACGTTTTTTTTTTTATGTTACACGTATAATACTCCACATATAAAACGTATATATAGTATGTATAGTTAAAGCTGATTAGAAGAATTGTATGTTGTATTTTTGTTAGCATTAAAACTTCTTCAAAATTTAAGTCTCCCTTGGACTACTAAATAACCTTACAGAGCCATAACAAGGGTGAAGCGACTGAGGCACTGAACCTTGATAAATTTTTTTAATCTAAAAATCCAAACTTACATATCGTATTTACTATTATATATTTACTAGATTATATATATATTTACTAGATTATATATATATATAATCTCTTTGACTGTAGCTACGTGAGAACGTAACTTTAGCAAACTCAAACTCAAACTATATAGCCCTGCGGGACGAGCTATCAAATTTGGCTATTTTATCTATAGAAAATGAAATTATGAATTGGAGAAATTGATTTTGAGATTGTTATTGGTGAATTTTCTGTAACCAAATCGATAAAAGTACAATTGTGACTGAAAAACTCTGTACCTACCTAATATGTTTTTTGCATTACAATCCCCTTTCATTTAATATTATTTCATTTTTTTTTTTTTTTATTCAGTATGTCTGTAAAATAAATAAATACACGCTTATCTAAAAATTCGATAAATAATAATTGAAAACTTTTAAAATAGTACCTTAAGAATTTGTTTTTAAGGGGAGACATGAATTCAAATTTGCCTCAAGCCCTAGAAGAGCTCCCTACGGCTCTGTAACAAGTTAACGAGGTTACTATGTTATTTTTTTGTAGATTGTCACAACCCGCAATTTTGTCCTCTTATCTCCCGGTGAAGTTATCACTGATATATTTGATTAGCATTGGGTTAAATTGTTTAAGATATTCAGTCATCACCCTACATGTTTCTTTGAGTGCCATAACGTCGTGTTTGTTTGGTGTACCTTGGTTTATTTTGTACTGCTCAAATGTATTCCTTTAATTTGGATCATTTTAGATTCTGAATAGAGCAAAGGAACTTATGGTTTTACAGAGATGTTTTTTTTAACTGTTTTAACTGTTAACAACTTTTCTACCCGTAGACTGACTTGCTCGGATTTCCACGTGTAGCATCTTTTCTGAAAGGAAATCAGTGTAGGAAGGTTCTTAGGGGAGATTGATTTTCTCAAGTTTTCTTATCAAATTCGAAAAACAGAAAAAAACGGGAATATTTACGAAACATAATAAATAAAAATTACAATTTGTTTTTTCTATGGACAACTTTTCTACCAGCATTTTTGCTCCAACTTTTAATGGTAGCAATGTTTCTGAAAGCAAATTTCACTAGTTAGGAACTTTACAGTGGTCATTTTTCGATTTTCCCAAGAGTTTTCCCAACAAATGTAAAAATCCGGGATAAAACATGAGAAAACCGGGAAAAACTATACAACATTAAACAAATATTATTAAAGAAAATATATAAAGCCTATTCAAGTTTGTTATTTTAGTCGACACCAAATATTTTCCTTGTTATTATGCTCCTGATATGTACAAATTATTTCGGATACTACCACTATTTACTATTGAAACGCCGCTACAAATCCTGCTCCACTATCCACTCTCTACCCAAACTTAAAAGTGGAATATCTTATCAACATCAAAATATTTTTAAGTTTAAACTTCATCTATTTATAGAATTTAAAATATACATTGTTTTTTAAAATCAAAAGCTGGTAGTAATTTTATCTCTAATAATAAGAGTGGCAAAAAATAACGGAAATGTAAAATTTTAAAGTCGCTTATTATTTCTTTAATTGCCAACAACATATTCCGGTTAATACTTTCAGAGGTAATAAATGTCTTATCGAGGATTATCTTGAATATTATTTATATTACCTATAAAATTTACATTGGTACTTTTTACCGTTTCGACAACGTTTAATGTCTCTGTTAAACTGAAAAAAATTGTGAAGGTAGGTAATAGCGGCCCACTGTATTATAAATTTAACAATTTATAATTCAGATATTGAATCAATTAATTATTAATTATATTAATCGTTTAATACTTAGACCATATTCTATGGATGAATCCATAACGACACAGCGTATTATTTTGTTAATTGTATTATTTTTATTAGGCGACGAGTCTCCAAATTAGGTGCTCGATGCGCGCATGCGCGATGCAACTCCTCGCATAATTATCGATGAATAGATTGGTAGTGGCGTAGCTATCATACGGAAAAGTGGGGCAGCGCCTCGGGGCCCCAGAGCTTGGGGGGGCCTCGGACAATTCTGAAATTACTTGAATTGCAAATTTTGATGTATTTAATAATTAGAGTTTTAAATATTACGTGGTAATTCCAGTCACATTGTTACGAGTAGGTATATTTCGAATTTTCTTAAAGATCATATTAGTTAGAGAGCCCAGTTTTTTAACTGCCTCGGGCCCTTTCCAATCTAGCTACGCCACAGTAGATCGACGAATTATCAATGAATAGATCGAAGAATTATCGATGAATGGAATGAATGATCCGATAAGTATGCAAAAAGTTGCCCATATCAAACATTTAATTCGAAGACTCGTCGTTGATATCGGAAACATTTTTTTTTGTATTGATTTAATATACTCCATCCATAGTGTCTTATGATCTAAGTTTTAATAGATTTTATGAGTTGTTCGCATTTTCAATACATTTTTCTCCGTCAAATACTAAATTTTATATCCTCTTCGACAGCCATCTTACAAACTTCCTTGCCAGCTGCATATTTAGGATGATAGCAACTAGAGAAAAATACCCCGGGCAACGAATTTCAAGCGTGGGAAAAATTTAGAATTGTTTTGTTTTTTATATGGAACATTAAAGTAAATCGATCACAGTTTACATAACATAAACATATTTTCTTTTTCCTCTTAGATAGAAACAAAAATTGTAAACGGATTTCATATCACTGTAGGTTGGTTCGCGTAATACCAAACCTTTTAGTATCACAGAGCCAAGCTGTAGAAATTAGGTATACATTGATAATACGTGAGTGGGGTAGCAAGGTGTTTTACCAGCTTTTTTTTAAAAAAAAAAGAGTTAATACTGTTTATGGTTATGCTGCACTTATGCCATTGTTATAGATGGGCGTGGGAAGTTAAAAAAGTATGAAACATAAAATTATCAATATCTACGGAGCCATAAACATCGCTGACAAAATACAATTCTGAGCGAAGTTCAATTAAATTATATTAATAATTCCAGTGATTTTTCGATTTCCATTCAAGTTTGAAATTTAAACGCATATGAACCTATATAAAAAATGTATTTAAATGTAGTGTTAAATTTCCAGGTACTTATGTTTGGTTAAACAATGTTGTTTATAAAAAATTAAATAAATGATAAAAAAAACTTGAAAATGTCAAATGCTTATAAGTTATAAATATAGTTCATAATGGTAAAGTGATATTTCGATCCGTTTTTAAAAAAAAAGAACCTAAAAAATCTATATCACTTATTTACTATTTACATATAGGTACCTCTAAAAAATACCATCGAATTGCAAATACATCGACACAGTAGCAATATAATTATAATCCAGCTTAACAGTCTCGGGTCCAGAACACATTCAATTTTTTTGCATTGTTTTACAAAACTTTTACTCGATTATAATTTTTTATACGATTTTTGTATACTAATTTATGGCAACAAGAAATATTGATCCGGAGACGCGTTCTAAATTTTTGTTTTTTTCGTTCAATTCTGTAACCCAAGACGAAGCAATTTTTACCACTACACTAATATTATCACAGAAAAGATGAATATTGATATATTATAGTACTCTATGATATTACTATGATATTTTTAACACGCTATTTTACATCGATCAATCTGAAATTATCAAAATTTGAATTGCACAATTCAAACTAGCAATTGGAAGCAGCAGCAGTATTTGGACACAGCGCAGGCACCTTTTGTAATACACCATTGAGAAAAAACTGATCAAATTGTTCTTTTAGCCTAAAAATTCATCTAGTAAATTTCAATATAAGTATTCTGTGACCATTTAAGGTCTCTACGATAATGCTCACGATTTTTTCTTTTTTACAAAAGTTAATTATTGTTTTAAATTCTGAGCGGAGCAAGAAATGTGTCAGTTTTAAAATGATATGTGTGGTTTTGGATTTCGAATTTAGTCAGGAATGTATTGATTTAACTTTGATATGTATGCATTTTTGTTTTATTTTTTCGACCTTAAAACAACTTTTCTACAATAAATCTTGTTCCAATCAAAAAATAATACAAGACATTTTTCGTTTCATTTTGGATCTAGTTTGTGCGTCGAGGAGAACTTTTTTTTGATTTTCATAATAATCGAGGAAAAAAAACTGTAAGAATAGACAAATTTACGACAGTAAAAGTTTCATTATTTTCGATTTTTTTTTGTTGTTGTTTTTCGATTAAAAATAATCGCAGGGACATTCAATTTTCACAGAATTATTATACTAGCATTTACTAGTAGACTTTTAAGCTATTATATAAATTTTATATTTTGAAATTGTTTAGCTTTTATATGATTTATGTGAATAAAATGATTTGGCCAGAACAGAAATGCTTGCTAATTTAACAGAAGGTTCATTATAAATTGTAGCGATAAAACAAATTTGAACACAATGTAATAGGTTTTTTCTATTATAAGACGTTTTAAATTCAAATTTTAACTAAACCCGTAAAAAATCCATTTCCCCTAAACCCATTTCAAAATATGTTTAACCGAACTTCACCCAAAATTATGTTTCATCAGTATACTATAGTACCTATATGTATATCTTACATTCCTAATTCTCTACAACAGTGACACGTCCGCCATGAAAATGAATAACCATGGTTATAAACAGTCTATAAAAAAGTAAAAAAAAAAATATTAAATATAATACTATATAATCAGTGGCGACGAACTCAAAGTTAATTTCGGACCTTGGCCCTACTTTAAAAAAAAAAATTAGGCATAGGGCCACTTCATTTCGGGGCAAAGTTTGGTCGCGTCCAACAAATGGATACTTTATCACAGAAATAAAAACCTTTACTAACCGTAATTTTGGATACAAAACGAGCTGTGTTTAGTGATTGGTGCCTCTTGGAATGTATTTCGCCAGACTACATTTTTAGGACTTCGGCGCCACTGTATATATAATTGTAGTATCATTATGGTAATTGAAAAAAGTCTAACGACATACATCGCCGACATCGGATGTCGCGACCATTACACTTATCGTTGCTGTTGAGAATTGATATTTGGATTTTAATTTGAATTGGAATCGTTTCCCTTCGAGTACCCGTTTTTCAAGCCCTATTTGAAAATCCTGCATGCGCCGCCATTACAGTTGCAGTAGATACCTATTCGACCGTTATTTTTTTCTAATCGCGCGTTACATAATATACCGAGTAGTTACCTATTTGAAACGTTAGTAATTCGCGATAATCGCGTGTTTTTTTTTCCCGGGGATTCTTTCGTTATAATATAGCTACGTAGCTCGAATCGTTAAAAATAACGAATCGATTACATACGTTTTTGACAATATTACGTATTTGTATTTGTCGTAAACCGTATACGGGTACAATACGAGATGATAATGGTATTACACATGGCGCTTTTTTTCTCGGATTAATATTTTTTTTCGGAAGTTTGACTTTTCACGGCGGGATGACGTAGAAAAGTGTACGTGTGCGTCGGCGGTTGAATAATACTCGTGGGAGAGCAATAAACATTGTGCCCCGGGGTCGGTTATGCGTGTGCTTCTGCGTTGGCAGCGATGCGGTGAAGGAGCGGCGGCGGCGGTGATGACGGCGGCGGCGGCGGCGGCGTCGTTGGCGGCGGCGGTGGCGGTGCAGTGTGGTGACGGTGCGGTCTAGCGGCGGCGGCATTTTGATAATTACACGGCACGACGACCAGCAGACGGGCCGAAAGCACGCTACCGTCGATGGCGCCCCGATCGATCGGACCACACACACCACAAACACGCGTATATTCATGTAGATATATTATATATGCGCGCGCTATGGATACGGTTATATTTATATATTGTTTATTATTATTATTATTATTATATAGAATATATAATAATGTATTCGTTTACCCCCCCTCCGCCGGGTCGCAAAGTCAAAAACTTCCAAAAAAAAAAATATATATATACCAACGACAATAGGTAAACGTCGCCCGCGAAATACGGACCCCGTAATAATTACAAACATAATAACAACGTTAACAGTATACTATTAAATTCCGCGCGGGCGCTATTATTTCGTGGGGCCGACCGACGGCGGTACGCCGTGACGCGGTGCACACCGCACGAGCCGACCGGCGCTTATAAGCGTGTAACGTGTGACGCGCGAGATACGGTTGAACACGCGCGCGTACGGCGGCGGTGACGACGACGACGGATGTATAGTAATATGTTATAATATTATTATACGCGGGGCGAGTGTCCGCGAACGCCGTCGTCCGATTAGAGGCGTCGGGGCGGTGTAGGGTGGGCTAATAGCGCCGTGTCCCCCCGTTTCGCGAGTTTTTATAGTATGTTGCGCGCCGCGCGCGTTATGTGCCGTCGCGCGTGGTACAGCAGTGTGGCGACAGCCGCGGCGGTGTGTGTGTGTGTGTGTGGTGCGCCTCGACGGGTCGCGTGCGGGGGCAACGTCGCTCCGCGGTGGCGAAAAGGAGAGGGATTTTGTGGCGCGTGTGTGCGTGCGAGCGCGCGCGTGTGTGTGCGTGTACGGTGTCGGTAGTGTGTCGGGCGGCGGGTAAAGCGGCGAGCGGACACAAATGCGCCGCCCGGAGCTGTCTGAGTCTTTCTCCCTATACATTCCGCCTCGCTTGTACCCTCGTCGGCTTGCCCATACTGAATATATATATATATATATATATATATACACGGACGCGCGCCTGTGTGCGTGTATAATGTATATACATTAACATTATATATATATATATATAATGTGCGTATATATATATATATGCGCGCCGTCGCCGCCTCCGCGCGCGCCACACGACCGCCCGACCCAAGAAACGCTGTGGTGTCAGTTGGCGGCCACCGGCGTGTGAGCGCCGTGCCGACAATACGTCGACCCGGAACCGTTATTGCGAACCTTACAACGGGGCTCTCGACGGTGATAATGGTGTACCCCTTTATCTAATATTCCTGACCATAACGTACGTATTATTATAACAATATTAATATTATGACGTGCAAGTAAAAAAAAAAAATTAAAAAAAAAAAGAATATTTCCTATAACACATCGTGAATGTTTTACACGTAACACGATATAGGTACTTGTTCGCGTAATTAAAATATATATTAGTATAGTTTAAATACTGTTTGATTAGAAAATAATAATAAAATTCGGAAATAGACTGTACCCACTGAAGCACTAAAAGGCTCTAGTGCGTAAAAGGTGAATTCGATCCGACTCGACAGAAATTTGGAGTTGGTCCGATTCAATCCAACCAAACACGAAAATCCAAAAATCCGGTCCGACCCAATCTGATCCAATATAAAAATCCGAAAATCTGGTTCGACCCGATCAGAAAATTTCATAATTTAATACTATTTTCCAGACGAGAATGGTTTTATCAGAGTCGGGCCAAAACACAGGTCTGGTCGGACTGGCCCGGTCCGTGCAGAATTCTAGGGGTGATCAGAATTTGGTCCTACCCAAATTATTTTACGAGCCCTAACTGATCCTTTCCGAATAGCGGGGTGCCCCAAGTTTGATCTGACCTGAATTATGAATTATTGTTCAAGTCCGAACTGATCTGGTCCGAAAAAAGATTAATTTCGAACTATCCCAATCCGACTTTGGGTCGAGTTGGATCGAGATGACCCTGTCTGTACAGGTCTCAAGTACCCATCAGTTAGGTCTATTTGTAGCATACACAATCAAAGAAAAATAAATGTAAAAAGGGGCCTAGTTGTTCAGAACGTAGAGGGAATTTGTCAGTTTCGTCGGAAAAAAAGTTGTTATTGAAGGGGATGTCAAATTTAAATTGTTCACAATTTGCTTGCTAACTAGTAAATTTTTGGCTAGACAAATTGTATTTATAAGTGAATCATGAGTGTTAACTCATTGGTTATGAATAATACTTGCCAAGTCAAACAAACATTTAGTAGTAAGTAAGCAATTTATTTAATAATTTATAATTATCACCTATTTAGATATAAATTATTTTTTCGCTGACGAAGCTCACAAACTTCTTCGTGTACCCAACTATTTAGATTTTTTTTTTCACATTAATTTTATTGGTGGAGTATCATTACTTTTTGATCAAAAAAAAAGAGGCTGATCAAATTTTATATATTTGAAATGTACTAAAATAACAGTACATTTTAAATTCATATTATTTTTCAGAACTGCCCCCGTACCTCAGAAAAATATTAAAAATCCCTCACTAATGATAATAGTAATAATATATCTAAATATTATATACAGTATGAATCTCGAAATAGTACCAAATAATCAGTATCACGGTTGTCTGAGATAGATAATAACTGTGTTCAGTATATTATATAAGTGTAATATACGATTTAACGTAGAAGTTTAAAAGTATACGTGTAAGTTAATATTACTTGGTCTATACTATTTTCGTATAGTAGTGCCACGCAGCGCGACGCTCGATAATGTTCTATAGAAGTGAATCTCCCCTGCCCATAAGTTGGATTTTTAATTTTTCTCGTAATTATAACCTCAAGAACTATTCATGTTTCAAATTTCAGAGCTCTAGCTCGATTTAAAGTATCCTAGATTGTTTAGTAAATCAGTCAGTCAGTCAATCAGTGCCCAAAGTTGATTATAATATTTCGATACTCGTACCTTGGAAACTGTTCCTCCTAGGGTCCATATTACAATGGTGGTTTAAACTTGTGTTAAATTAAAAAGACCGTATTAAAATTGACTATCCGTGGTTAACTTATTGATTGTTAAATCGCCGATTTCGGTGAGTTAAGCTTGGTTCAGAGATGAACTGCAGTTTGATTGATTGTTCATTAATGTTGATAATGAACATAGTATTATGGTTATCAATAATTATTGTTATAAAAGATTTTACAAATGAGAATGATAACGAACAAAATACCAACTGATCCACTATCATTACAGAACACCATTGTCACGTAACATTTTCATTAATCACTAGATTTTTCACAGTGGTATCACACATATAGCAAACTTATTGTTAAACCACAGCTTATCTAAACCCGGTTAAATTTGTGATTGTAATACCGATAATAAGTTAACCTAAGGTTCAGTTGATAACCGAAGTTCAGCTAAACTCGAGTCAAACTGAGAATTGTAATACGGGCCTCTAGATGTACGCAATTTGTAAGATTACAAAAGTGAATTGTCATTTTTTTGATTTTAAGTGCAATAAGTTCTGAACCTTACTAATGAGTGATAATTAAAATTAAACCGATTCTCATTCGTAACTCCTAATTCTATAATGTATGTACCTATATATAATCCCTATATATATATATATATATATAGGTACATATATGTATAGGCGTAACTAGGGATTTCTAAGTGGTCTTTAGCATCCCCAAGTTTAAAATAAGCACCTCCTAAAGTATCCAATAAGTTTTTTATAATACTTACTAAATATTTTATCCATGTGTTTCATAATTATTAATCAGAACTACTACAGATTACTTATACTGACAATGTGTGTATAAAAAAAAGTTAAAAAAGTTACTTTTTAAAAAAAAAAAAAAAAAATGTGGATGAAATGTATAGTTATTATAGTTGCTTATTAGAAGTGCCATGTAAATGGGATTGTGGTAGCATTGCTCCACGGGGCCTGTGATATGTTTATAATTTTAACATCTCCAAAGTTGGTGGTCTAGTTGTACCCATACATATACTATGTACCTACGATAGTGTAAACAAATAACCTATTCTAGTAATGCACTCCTATATTAAACGTACAAATGCATGCATAAGGATATATTTAAATTTCACATTATACTTTGTTAAAAACACATAACACATTTAAAACTTAAATTTTAAAATTTAGTTACAATATTAAATTATCAAACAATTTTGAAAACCTACTTGTGTAATTATTAATAATACATAAAAACTTAAATTTATTCGTTTTTTTTCTTTTAGTTATATTTATATGACATTATTGGTATTATGAATTTCACCACGTAACGTGTAATTTGTATATAATACGAGTAACGAGTATATATATTTTATTATATATAGTATACATTTGGCATTCGTGCGTGAGTGTTTTTTGTTGTAACCCATAATTTTATGCGCACAAAAAATAAAAAAAAAATTCCGAAAACGATTAAAAAACGATTTATATACCTGTATGTTGTATATTTTCTTTTTTTATATTCTATTTCAATGGATGTTTTTAATTTGTAGAAATGTTGGACGGAGTAATTTTGACGAAAATTGGATTGAAATGGAAAACATAAAACCGTACGTACAACCAAAATTGATATAATAATACCGGTTTTATAGTAACGGGTTTAGAAGTCAGATAGTATCGGTTTTTTTTTTGTTTTTTTTTGACCGAGTTCTATTTTGATTGTAGTAAACGCGTTAACTCTACCCGGTAGCAGTTGCCCGTAGATGATTGCTGGCGGGAGGTTTATGGCACGCGACTACCGCTGCGGTTCGATACCCCGCTCCCACCGCGTCCCGTCTTCACGTCGGACTCTACACGCTATCGCCGTCACTGCCGCGTTCGCTCTGAACCGAGGTGCCTCTTCAACCATTTATTAAACCCGTCACGCCCGTTCCGGATAAGCCCTAGAGACCCGTAACCCCCTCTCACTCCCTCTCTCTCTCTCCTCTCTCTCACTCTCTCTCCCTCTCTCTCTCTCTTTCTCTCTCTCTCTCTTTCTCTATCTCCATCTCTCCCGACACCCGTTTCTCCAGTCACCGGAAGTTGGACCGCAGTAGGCTTTAATGCCCATAGGATCAGAAAAAAAAAGAGAAAAGTATATATATATATATAAGTAGATGTGTGTGTGTGTGTGTGTGTGTGCACGTGAATATCATATATATATATATATAAATATAGATAGATAGAGAAAGAGAGATAAACGGGAGAAAAAGAGAATGAAAAAAAAAAACACAAAATAACTCAATATAGATAAAGCTTCTTGCTGTTTTCACGTAGATATTTTTATTTTTTATATTTTTTTTTATTCTTGGGGAGATTATCATCTAAAAAAGTTTAAAAAAATTTTTGCGCCAAAGAAAAATCTCCTTTCAGAGTGTGCAACGGTGTACAGGAAGGGGGTTGAGGAGAAATTTACCCCCTTTCCCCGTGATGCATATTATAAGTGTGCGTATAGTTATTAGTGTTAAAAATTACTTATCTATTTTATGAATTTAAACATAAATTAAAACGCATTTTGAATTGCCCGATTTTCGTAGTGTGTACTGTGTATATTAGAGTGACCATATTTTTATGCATACGTTTTAAGTCCATTGCGGATGCTTTGTACATCGGCCACTGTCGATAATGCAAATTTCGGTAAAGTAAGAATGTAAGGTATATAGGGTAGAGTAATTTAGTATACATATTGCATGCGATATTGCGAATATTTTTCCCCGGTTTTTTCCATAATTATTGAGGGCACCACAAGAAAAATCGAAAAATTACTTCCCCAATGCATCAACTAGACAAAATTAGTTTGTTTAAAAACTTGTTAACAGGCTAAAAAATAGCATATTAAAGTAAAACTAATTTATCTAAAACCATGAATTTCTTCGTTTAAAATCCAAAATCTACAAAGAGAACGGGAAAAAAAAAAAATAGAGATGATATTGCTGCTGCTGGGTATGCCTCTATTGTAGTTGGTAAGTTGGGAAAGTAGGTTACATAAAGTTATTCGATTTTTGTCTGTACTCAACGATAAATCAATCTTAACAAAATCTGATTCTGAGCGAAGTTCGTTTAAATACGTTAAACACGATGTTTACAATTTTTCGCAAATTTTAACTTGATATAAAAAAAGACGTCCTAGGATAATGGGAAAGGAAGCAGCCACTGTTATAGGAAATTTAATGTATACTTGTATAAGCAACGATAAATCATTTCTAACGAAAAAACGATTCTGAGCGGAATTCAGTTGATAGTCATGCTTTGTCAACAATATATGTGCCATATTATAGTAAAATAATTAAATGGACTAAATATTTTCTTTAACAATATTTGTTTAATGTTGTCCCGATTTTTCCGGTTTTCCTACGTTTTTCCTGGTTTTCCCGTGTTTTATCCCAATTTTTCACATTTGCTGAGAAAACTTCGGAGATAATCGAAAGACGACCTATCCAAAGTACCTCGCTAGTAAAATTTTCTTTTAGAAACATTGCTGTCATTAAAAGTTGGAGCAAAATTGCTGGTAGAAAATTTGTCCACAGAAAAAAAAATCGTACTATTATACAAATATATTTCATACATTTTCCCGTTTTTTTTTTTTTTTTCAGTTTTTTGCATTTGATATGAAAACTATTGAGAAAATCGAAAAATGACCTCTTGAAGGTATCTCCCCACACCGACTTCCTTTTAGAAAAATTGTCCACAAAAAATAAATAATAATAACATCTTCGTAAAACCATAAGCTACTTCGCTTCTTTCGGAATCTAAAATAATACACGAAATTATTTGATTTTTAAGACTTCCATTGTAATTTGAACTTAACGCTTATGTAAAAAACACTACTAGATTAGGCTAAACAATTTTTACCACAAGTAAAACTTATAGTGAACTTTGTGTTAAATTGTCACGCATTTTATTTAGCAGGCCAAACAATTTTGTCCAATTAAAAACTAAACACAACTCGAAAATGTTAAATACCATAGTAAATAACTCAAAAATCAATAATGTTTTGAAAATTTCATTATGTCTACAAAAACCTATTATAAATATTCTGAGAACATTTCATGTCTTTAAAATTGTTATAATCCAAAACAAAAACAAAAAAAAAAACGAACGACTATTATGAAAACCGCTAAGAAAATCTAAAACGGGACAAACAGCTTCCCGTTCAGTGTTTGTCGGTCATGATATTAATGCAAACTCAAAAATGGGACGACCATTGAATGATATTATTTACAGCGATCCAGCGCCCTACTATACATAGGTACAACTAATGGTACAATCGGAGTGGGATGCCGGTCGGACGTTATACACACCCAGTGGTGTGAAACTAGGACGTTTGTTTGGGTGTTGATATGAATAATTATCAAAAATATCAAGGGAAAAAAAAAATTATAAACCAATACAATACACTGGATCACGCAATTCGATTAACATTTACCATTAACAATAAACACAATAGCAATTAATGATAATGCGGCATGTACTGCACTTGATATTTTGCATTATGTTATAGGTACATCGTTTGTAAAAAGTTGTTGGGCGAAAAAAGGCCCGGGCCATAGGCCTCTCCGGAAGACGATATTTCACCCGCATCACTCCCCTCGGGAAAACCACCGCACACGATCGAAATTTTTCTAACGTCTCCCACAGCACCCTTTGTATTCAATACTTTACTGTACAGAAATTCGTTTGAAATTCGTAACCTCTCCCCGCCACACTGTACACACAAAACGTACGTTATACGCGCACATAATAATAATATTATTATATTGTAAAATTCGTAGACCAGACGGCGCGCGGCGGCGGCAGTATCTATTCCGTTCCATTTGGTTTTATTTTTATTATTCTTTTTTTTTTTTTTTTCCGTACACCAATAGCGAGTAGGATATCGGTACAATATAGAGAATATAATAATAATAATAATAATAATAATATAATACGTCATTATCGTTTACGACCGGTTATGGGATCCGTTACGCGTTACGCTCGGCGGGCGGACGGGCGGTCGGCGTACGACGCTCCGTCGGCCGCGGCGGTGGGCGACGGGAGGAAGAAGAAGTTATAGTCGCTGTCCGACACCTGTGACCGGGCCTCTGCCGCCGCCACCGCCGCCGCCACCGCCACCGCCGCGCCGGTTCCATATCCATAGTGTAATTACAGTGCACGCCATAAAATCCCCGGAACGCCGCACCGCGCTTTGTGGTATGGTGTGGTGATGGCATCGGCGGCGGCGGCGGCCGCCGGTATAAGCTTTGTGCCGACTGCCGAGGCGCGTGTACTCATTACACCGCCTCCGCCGCCACCACCGCAACCGGGGCCCCCGCGGCCCGCGCATCTGCTCTCGGTGTAAAACGCTGACACGGTCTGTCGCGCACAGCGTATCTGATTCACAACGAAAATATATTCTGTGTACGGTTTTAATTGTTTTCGGTTTTTTTTTTTTTTTTTTTTTTTTTTTTTTTTTTTTTTTTTTTTTTTTTACTATTTTGATTTTTTTTTTTTCTCATTTCTGTAAACAAAATAATCGTTTTTCCATTCCCGTCGACGAGTCCGCTACACTGCGCGGTCGTCGAAATTCGAACATTTTTCGCGATAATTTTACACGTGCCAGACTATTGTTTCGAACCTATTGTAGTAATATCGCCTGCGCGCAGTTCCATTCAGGCGCGTACTGGCACGCCGGATTACCGGGAATTTCCCGGCGGGCCCTTCTCGTGTAGGCCATTGATTTATACACGTTTTCCAATTTTCGTTTTTTTTTTAAATTACATATTGTAACTTTGTGATTTCTTAGGCTGTACAGGCTGGCACTTGAAGAATATTTATGATTTATGTTCATTCGGGAGTCCTATTTAATAATTTCCCTGTACAAAAATAGAACCCAGTACGCGCCTGGTTCTGTTATTCAGTGTATACATTGCCCCCTACTTATTTTCGTAAACCCTAACACGAAACGTATAATTCGAATTCAGAGTGCGCAATATACTAATCTGAAAAGTGTAAATAATAATAATTAGACTATTGGACACATTGTTATTTATAATATTTAACAAAATAGTGGGTACCTATTAACCTGGTTTATATACCTATTGTACAAGTCTGTACCGTACAAATTGCAGGAAACCTGAAATCTAAATTTGTACTTTCGAGTTTTTACGGACTCAGAAATCCGAACCTTACCGATCTGGAAAGTAAAATTTTAAAAAGAGATATAATAATATGTTATGCATCGGTCAGCTTTAATTCCGGGACTTCGGTTACTTCAATTCATGAGCTTCGTGAGCTCTTGTCGGAACTTATCGAAAATCAACTTAAATTTCAAACATTTTACTTTCCAGTAGTTTCAGTAAATTCAAACTTTTTACACATTCCACGAAAAACAACACATTTTAAATTATATCAGCTCAATGTACAAAAAAAATGTTTAGTGTTAATTTAAAAAAAAAAAAAAATGAAGCTGAATTCTCTGATTCGTAAAGACATTATAGTATCACTTGTTTTTTCATAATTTTAGTGGAAATTTATCAGTGTACGATCTAGATAAGCAATTGACAATTACGTATTTTCACTTCTATCGTTGTGCAGTTGTACTTTTGTTGGCTGTTTTTATTCAAATATATTATACACGTATTCCAGTCGGTTTGACGCTGTATAGAAAAAATGTTCTTTTTACGATTTTCAGCCAGTGTTTTTTTTTTTTTTTTTTCAAATTTTTTCAAATGTGAGAACCGAACTCCAGTAAAATCGTCGCATACAAATTTCGGTTATTATTAACTTAACACACTGTTGTCGGATATGTACCTATGTACTGAAGATTTCGAATCGCAATAGACTCATTTGGTATTTATTTTTTTTTTTTCTAAATATTACGTAATACCATTCCTCCTAATAAACATCTTATAGCATTCGGTTTCACAATAGTATAAATCTCTGCGAGGTGCTTTTTTTCGGGGTTTTTTTTTTTTTTATATATATGTGTCATATTTCGCGCAGGCATATCGCGAGGGGTAGGCGAGAAACGAGGGGATTTCTCGTATAATTTAATATCACCGCGAGGGTGGTGGGCGTGCCGTTGGCGCCCAAAGCGCGCGCGGGTCGTCGGTGGCGTCACGGCTATTACACCGTTCTCGCCGCGAACGGGCGACGGGACAGAGGGTTGGAGTAGGCGACGGGGCGGCGGCGGTCGCTGTTGGGGAGGAGGGGCGGACAGCCGTGTGGACGGCGGCGTGGGGTCGAACCACGGCTGGGGGGAGAGAGGTGTCGACACTGCGGTCGGGTCACCCGTGCCGCCGCCGCCGCCGCCGCCGCCGGCGGCGTCGAGTTCTCGCTTCTCTCATTACCGTCGGGAACCGCCGCGGCACCGCCAGGCCCGCCAGTACAACAGTAGTGTATAGTAGTCACACATCAGATGCGGTTGCAACATCATGTAGTGACGTCGTCCTACTGTGTTTTCACAAAACGCGCGCGTGTTTATGATGACAGGAAAATGTGAACCGGACTCTTTGCCCGTCGTACCGCTGTCAACCGAGACGTTAGCCTCCGCTGGAATCCACGACAACAACAATAACGCGTCTTCCGCAGCGACCTGCACACCGTCGTCGCCAGTCACGGCCACCGTGCATCCGTTTAGCAAGAGGGAATCCGCGATCGTCACCAGCTCTTCGCTGATATTTTCACAGTCTTCTAATCAAAAGGATGGTAAAAGGGTAATAATATAATATATCATAATATTGTTATTTACACTGTTGTTTTTGTTGATGGGGTTTTTTTTTTTTTTTAATATTTTATTTATTTATTTAAATTGTATTACAATATTGGGTACACGCAATCGGTCGCGGTATGCCGAACTCGATTATTATTATTATTATTATTATTGTATACATTATAAAATATAGTTTTGAGTCGTTTGATTAGGTACCTATACGTCCTGTATATTATTACGATAAGATAATGAATACTACTAACGACATTACCGAGACAGGACTGACGGTTTAGTTTTTTTTTTTTTAGGCTCGGAACATAAATTGAAATCGTCGTAAGGTCGGAGAGAAATAAACGTGTGCAATTATTATATATTATAATTACGTACCTTTTTTTTTTTTTTAAAAACGTATGCCTACCGAAAGCCCGTGGCTCCCGAAATCGACGTGTTATTATTATATACGTATAATATAGTTACCGCAGGTGCTTATAATATATTATAGATAATATAATTATATTATGCTAATTAGTTTTAACTGAATAAACGGACGACGTATACGTTTCCACGTATTCGCGCGGTGTACAATGTATACACACTATACATCTAGTGCGTAGTATTACTAATACGAAATATTCCAAAACCGGAGTGCGACTCCTTCCCGGTTCCCGCTTTCCCTGTAACACGTTATATAGGTGCTAAAATGCACTGCACACGATACAGCGTAGTACTATTATGCCTATGCGCCGCGTGTTGCATTTTTCCGTACTGACGGCCACTATTTCATACCGACCAGAAAACGTTTATTTTCGTTCGCAGCATCGCCTATACGCGTTACGAAATCGAATAATCGATGTACAATAACCTATATAATGTACGAAGAAACTTACTTATAGTTGACAATTGTTAAACGATTCGCGTGGATATATAGATAATATGTGAAAACGGTTTCGAAAAAATCAATCGCTCAGTTTGCCTATATTATGCTTATGTATAGCAAAATAATATACCGATTGTATACGATTCGAAATCGCAATAGAATCGAGCATGGTACGTTTTTGTAGTTCTACCCTCCCTATCCCTCCTACCGGGAATAATCTAACCCTACTACGTTGTTACGGGTTATTTCTTATCGCGATTAGTTTTTTTTCGTTCACCTGGAAGTCGGGAAACACTGCTATTTGGTAAATTTCGGTCAGGTCAATTAATTTATGGTGTTTTACGTGAATAATACACAACTTTCATTTTCCGGTGATAATATTAATATGATGTTATACCTACGTATAAGTATACGGACTAGAGTCCCGGTTACCGCGTGACTGCGAAAATTCGAAAAACGAAGATAACAATTTGTATTTCTATACGATGTGTAGTCTATTTGAAATCCAGTATTTCGAATTTCGTTTAATATGATATAGCTGATAGTTTGTATTTGATCTTATAATTAAACAAAAATATTATATTGTACCGTAAAAAAAAAACTTGCCGAGCTCTCCGGATCGTTTAAATCTCTTGTAAAAAAATGCAGCACATGGTGAAATGCGCACGTACAACGATTCTAATATGATAATATCACGCATTATCCATACAACATTTCGTATGTGTAATAATATTATGATGGTTTTTTATATCTGGGCTTTGCGTATTAACAAAATAATTATTACTTGACATATTTTTATAATTTTTATCGGATGGTTATTTTTCAACGGCATTGTTTAAAATGGCGCTTTCCCGGAAGACTAAAATGATTGTACATAGAGGAAATAATACGAGGGCTTGTGAAGTAAACGAAGAAAAGGCAATGTATGCAGTGATGGAACTGATGGAAGTTGTGAAGGGCGAAAATCAGGGTATTCGACTCCAATTGCGAATGATAAAGGTGAAGAAGTTTAGAGAAAGCTAAAATAGTTGTACACACAGAGAAATCTGTAATGGAGTTTTGGCCGTATCGGTATATTGTAATATTATTTTGTTATCAAGACTATTATAATAAGTATTCTATGCATTACATTAAATACATAGAGAGCGGTCCTCTTACCACAAAATATAGTGATTGGCTACGAACATTTCGCAGAGTGAATTTGATTTTGGTTTATTTCGGTCATTTTATTAAAAATCGTTTAATATTAGTTACAATATTTTGTTCGAAAATATTTTCGTGAACACAGAATGTATTGACTTTTGATTTACAAATATATAACGACCAACATTCGAAAAGAGAATAATTTTCTAAAAATGTTCATATTCCGCATAACACTATGGTCCATAATATCGGATATCAATGCATTGTTTATGACGAGTTAAAACCAGTTGAAAATTTGGGCCGGATGCAGCGCCGCAACAACCCAGGGTGCTGTGGGTGCAAGTAGCGGGGCGACGCGAAGGCAGTTTTTTGACTCCCGGGACTAAAATCAGTGGGTGGCTGGGTTTGTGCGTATTAGTGTAATGGTACGAAATTGGAGTATAGGACTTAGTAGAGGAATATAGATGAATAGATAGGTTTTTCAAACTATAAGTTAGGTTATTATTATAATAAATAAAATCTCAATAAGACTCGTAAAGTAAAATATCTCGCGCCACCACTAGGTGCAAGACATGCCATTGGGCCATAGACGTCATTATGGGGTATCGAAGAGTAGTAATTGATACCCTACCAATTTTATCGGGATTACAAATTGTTACCCTATGAGTAATTTTTAAAATAAAAGTACAATTTTCTTGCTTTTTCTCATAACACGACCACACGAATGTAATAACCAATAGTTATACTCTCGAGTGTATTGAATTTGAACGTACATAAAGACCAGTCAACTGATTACTCATATTTCTAAATTTATTTGATATTTTTGACTAGGACTTGATATATGATCTATACTGACTAATGAAGTGAGACAAACTTCATTAAACCACAACTGAATTAAAAATAGTATACAAGATGTTTCCTACTCCGTGATTTGACTTCAAATGACACCTATGCATTGGGCCTCTGTTAAATCTTAACGATGGGCCGAATAGTGCTTTTTAATATATTGGTTATTAGTTATTTTCGATTATTTATCTGTATTTTGTTAAGGTCTTTTCGGTATGTGGCCCATATAAAATGGGTTTGTACTCCAACGGACGACGTCCCAAATGTACGCTAAGTTGTATCAGTGGCCAGCGTAGTATAATAAATTGCATACCGTCATTAGATAACAATTAACTATTTCTCCGAATAGAGTTTTAAACTGATATGTTTAGTAAAATCTTGTAAACGGTACAACCCAATGGGCGCCCGAAGGAAATTTATCAGGGTGGGGCAGTGTCTTAGTAAAAATTTGAATGACCTTTTTTTTCTTTTTTTTACGTATAACCCTAAATAAGAACTTACCTGGGCTCTTTGATGACCTTAGGAAGTGGTACAATAAAACCGAACGCCAAAAATTATATAAATTTGAAATTTTGCAATTCAGGGAAGGCAAATATCCCTCCGAGCGCTCATGGTGCATCATATTATATATTAGATAATAATAGTTATGTATATAAATTAAAAAAAATCTATTCTCTTTTCGAATCAGAGTTCTAAAATAAGAGCCGCTATTTGAAAATCAATAGTTGATATGCGTTCATACCATACGTAATAAGAGTAGAATTTTGTCAAAATTATAAATATGATCGTTAGAAGATTCTACAGAATGTCTGAAAAATCAAATTTACTTAAAATTTCTATAATTCATCAAATAATTTATTAAGATTCGGATTTATAATAATTGTGTACGATTTACGAATATAAAAATACATTATGAAAGTTATTATGTTGATTTAATTATACGATAGTATCCAAATAGTTAAAAAAAAAAACATATGCTCGGCTTGTACGTGCTCCTGTGTGATGCAAGGTGTCCTCGTGCCGTCGAATTCAGTTTAAAATTCTTTTAATAATATTAAACATATAATAATATAAAACACAAAAAAAGGATCATTTGTTAAAATATACAAGAGGAGCGTAACAAAGTCTCTTTTTCTAGCGGAGGAGAGGCGATTTCGACCATATTTCTGACAGACTATAACAAAAGACATATTTCTTATACTCCTTCGACTATTGTATAAATTAAAAGGACTTTGTATACCCGCACATGTCGTCTTCGTCCAAGCTTTTTAACAAACATTAACATTGCTGTAATTTTTTTGTACGGCAAATTTTGAACGATAGCTACACGTACAGCCTTGGGAATTATTATCCTTTTAGAATTTTTGTTATTTGTGTTTAAAATCTGATTTCTGCAACTTAAGCGCTATAATTTGTGTTCTAAGTAACGTAATTTTGCTACTCGTTGGTTAGTTTGCTAACCAACGAGACCAACTAACTAAAGAGTTTGCTCTTTGGTCGGGATAGTAAATGCGGGTCTGAATGCGTCCTCATAATCCGAATATAACGTACCGAAAAAAATTAATTTGTTATTTAAAAAATACGAACGGCATTTAACCGAGTTCGGGTTTTGGGAAGCAAACCGTCCCTTGATCAATCGCCGCTTACAATAACCGTGTGTTTTGAAAGACGGCTCGAAATTTCGCGATGAAAATCGCCACTCGGCATTCCTGGGCCGCGACGACGGCGACGTTTAGAGCAAAAACATTGACGATACCGACAATATTGCAACGATCCACAGAAAAACTATATTATTATTTTTAAATTTTTTTTTTTATACGTATGTATTATTATTATTATTATTATTGTACAGTTCTGTGCGTACGCGGCATTGCGCGGCGGCGGCGGCGGCGTGCCCACGAAACCGGGTAGACGAGTCTCTGACTTCCGCCCGCCCACCGCCGCGGGCGCGGTACGGGTGTCGTCGTCGTTGTCGGCGGCACGTACAGTCGAGATGACGCGGCGGGCGGTACGGTTGGCAGCGCGGCGGTTATAATAATAAAACCGATCCCGGCGGCTAGCCGGTCGAGTTAACGTGCGCGCGCGCGCCGCCGCCGCCTTTTATGTGTGCCTACGCGTGTGAACATTTTCGTTCCCCTCGCCGCGCGCGCTTTCGGTCGGCCACGCTCGCGCCGCGTGTGTTTGTGTACGCGTATATATACGTGTGCGTGTGTGTGATATCTGGTCGTCCGTGCTGCCGGTAATAATTGCAGCGGCGGTGGCGATGTCGGCAGCAGGCGAGAAGGGTTTATGTAACGCGTGTGCGTGTGTATAATCGCGGCGGCATGGCGAGGAACGTTGTGCGGGCGCGAGTTTGTGTGTGCGCGCGCGCCGCGCGTGTGTGTGCGTGTGTGCGTGTGTATGTGCGCGCGAGCGCGCGCCGTGTATATACGCCGAACGGCGGCGGCGGCGGCGGCGTTGTTTGTTGTTGTCTGCGTGTCTACCGGACCTTCTAAATCGGGACTCGGAGCGTGCGGGCGGCCGCCGCGCCGAGGGAAACTACACTACACGCTACTACTCGCCCGCTCGCGTGTTCGCGCCGCCGCCGCCGCCCCTGTTCCTCTTCGGGCACCGCGCCGCGCTTTTCTCCGCCACCCGCCGGTACACCGCCACCGCCACAAGGACGCGCTCGTCCGTGACCATCTAGACAAACATTGGTTGCTAAACGTGCCGCTCGGTTACACACACACACACACATCTATGACTACCGCCGCCGTCGTTGGCGCTACGCTACTACGAACGTCGGGCGGGTGGCACACCGCGCCTCAATTTTTTTTTTTTTCCGTATTATTATTATGCACAAACGCGCACACGTAACAATAATAATATTGTACGATTTTAGATTATGAGCGGAGCGAAGAAGCTTATAGTTTTACAAAGATGTTTATTTTTTTCTATCTGTGCGCAACTTTTTTACCAAAAGACATGCTCGAATTTCTACGTGTAGCACCTTTTCTGAAAGGAAATCGGCGTTTTTTTTATTGCTGCTGTTCTATCGGACATCGCGTTCCGACTTCCAATTATACCTATACGCCAGTGGCGTAAATACCTTGTAGGCGACGTGGACGAACGCCACGGTCTAGACCAGGACGACTTTTCGGTTAGGCCCTTTAGGACCTTTCGGATAATATTTTGCCACTGACATTAGAAATTCTAGTTACGCCACGTCTATACACAACCCGATACAATAATATGTAACGTTCTGCAAAAGCGAGACTTTTATTTTAGACATGTTCCCCGTTTTTGTTTACTTTCTGTGATGTACCGAAAATATTCCATCAATGACGATAACGTTGGGGTCTTTTTCGCATTTCGCTCTAGAGCCCAAAAAAATGTTCGATTTAACAATAATTGTACACGGTTTTTATTTGGCGCTTATCGTTTAGACGCATTAATCTTTTCATTATACTGTCTATGACAAAAAAATATTTAGTGGCTATATTAAACCGCGCGTTTGAACCTAAAAATCGATATAAATTTAAAATATTTTACTACTCAGATAACGTTTCGATAATTCGTATATACAATGTTAGACTGTTCTCATCGAAATAATTCCACAAACGTTTTTATATTTTGTCAGTCAGTATATTAAAACGTGAACCGATTAAATGGAATTTTGGTGTTTTTTCGTACTAGAGTAACTTCGGGTGTGAATGTGGGATAGGCCTATAGAATCGAACGAAATTATATTTATTACCCGCATTGCTGTATTTACTCTGTAATGAGAACGCAATATAATAGTACATTTCAGTCTTTGGGGGAGGTGGGGCATGTACCCCAGTAGTTCCGATTTTATTGATGCGGTCGGATGTGTGCAGAGAGAGCAACGAAGTTTTCTGTACGGTCGACGGTCGTCACCCTGCACTCGAAAAAGCCCCTTGGGGCCCTGCAGTGGCGCACGCGGGATTTGTCCGGCATGGAGGCATATTGTAATAATGAAGTGTGTATATTTAACAGAAGAGAATAATATAAGGCCGTGTTCGGACTTTTTTTTTTTTGTCTGAAGGGGGAACAGGGACGGGTGAAAAACATTTATACTGTAATTTTATTCAACATAGGTACTGAATTTAGATTTTGATATTTGAATAAAGACAAAAATCAATTTGTAGTAGAAGATTCGGAATATTATTACCGGCCTAAAATTAAGTAAATTCATTGAAAGTTTCTATATATATATATATATAAAATTTAAATTGTTAAATTATATCAGTATAAACTATAAATTATTAAACAGTATAACGTACCTTTGGAAGTTCAGAAAAATAGTTTGACGATGTATTTTTGATATCTCGTTTAATTTAAACTGGGTTTATAAATAGACGATCTGGCGGATAACGGAATTTTATATTAAAAAAATATTTTTAATTTACGCAAATTTAATATTGTCGTTGTCGGCCGTCGCCGACCGCCCTTCGGTATCAATCGTGTGGCCGTCCATCAATAACAATCTATTATTAGAACTTGAAATAATATTGTCTTACGGTATAAAACAATAAATCGTTAATTTAACTGGAATTTTAACCATTTACGGCCGAAAATATTTTTGACGATATAAAAATAAATAATTATTTTAAACGTTTTTGGAATATTGAGAATATTTCGGAGAGGGTTCCGGCCCTCTCCGAAAGGGCTTTCAGATACGGTCTTGGAGAACAAACGAGTTCAATAATAATTTATAGTTGTTTTTTCTAAACTCAGGTATTAGATTATAGGCTGTGTTGGTGGAAAGGGACTCGTTACTTTTATAGGAACGAGACACGGAACGCGTACGTTTTTAAAATAAAACGGGAAACAGTTCATATTTACGAGGAACGCGAAACTTTGTTTCTTTTTTTCGTTTCTTAATTTCCGCATAATATTTACAATATGATTACTGTTAGGAACGCATATGCATAATGCAAAATCAATCACGAAAACCTATGATACGTATATTATATTTTAACAGCAAATCGAATATCAGTACATATTTACAGTTGAAGAATATACACAAATCGGGGTTCGGATTCGGCACTAGGTAAAAACAAAAACAAAATACGATTAAAAGAACAAGTTGTATATACGTGTGTAAGGGACGCGAGAAACGGGAACAAAGTCGTTTTTCACGGTATCGACGGGAACAAATTCCATTTTAAAAGAAACTTTCCGAACGCTACGGGAGCCAGGTTATAGGTTCAATAGTATCACCGTCACAACGTTCCCGAACAACGAAAATATCGCGGATATCCGGAATTATTACCTTGTGGTACACCGGAAATACCGATCAGCCTTTGTGTAGCATAATATTATAAAATATATATTATTATAATAATAATAATTATCCTTATTTTTTTTTTTTTTTTAAACCCCGTACTTCGGGCATAATACACCCGGGAGTGTCATTATATCGGCCCCACCGCGCGCGCGCGCGGACTGTTTCGCCCCGTGTTTATCCCGGTATCCGGTCGATGACTCGTTTATCAGATAAAATCGATAGTCTAATTTTTACGCCGATAATAATAATTAAATGTATTGCAAAAATAAAGAATAGGGTCAATGATCGTATTATTGTATGTATATTATAATATATATATAGACAGAGTTTAAAATACAATTGTGTGTACCTATATGATTCGAAATACGCCGCGCCTGTATCAGAAAATGGACAAATTGGGGATAAAGTTATTGACGGGAACGGACGCGTTGTACAATATTATTTTGTTGCTGCGTCGTCGTATTATTATGTTTTCCCAAATACCTTAGAGCGAATTAATAATTCCTACGGTTCTAATAGTAACGCGACAAAAATAAAAACTATCATTTATTTGAAAACGTACGGTTTATATTCTAATATTGTGTCACGAATTCGCGCGATTGTCATCTGCGATGCGTTTCGCGTAGATCGGGGTTTTTTTTTTTTTTTTATCTGTTTTCCGTATACGATGCTAATGATAACAATGATAATATAAATAATAACAACGACTGCAGCGACGACGCGAACACCTCTTGTCACTCGGCGGGTTATTATTTACTTTGTACCCGCCCGCGACCGTCGGATCGGCGGCATCGGCGGCGGCAGAGGTGTTGGCGTGTGCTTTGCTTTCGTCGACAGCGAAGTGACGGCTGCGACCTCGGCACGCGCGCTTTGCGGACCACTGGATGGCCGTGCGGTCTGCTCGTTAGCAAAGGCGGCAGCTTGTTAAGACCCGGTCACGCTAAAAGCGGCGGCCACCGACGCTGCGGCCCGCCCCGGTGCCGGCGTTTCGTTCCCGAACCGTCTTTCACGCCGAACAAAATGTATTGTTTTCAAAGCGGGGCTTCGGCCGATTTCGATCGAACGAAAATGCAAGTACTCTAAAATAGCACAAGTCCGTTTTCGGGGTTTTGTACGCTCTGCAACGAAACGAATTTATGTAACGGCCGATATTACGACTCGCGATAAATTTATCGTAAATCGTCGTTCGCTATGTATTATTGTACAATTTGTAAATGCGTTTATGGAATTTTCCATTGTTGTTTGCAACTAAAAAACTTCAAAAGTCAACCGCCATATCGTATTAACTGCTAACTGTTCATTTTGTCCGTGTAAAATCGAATTGAGTAGGGGGTTCGCATACATCCGGACAAGACACTGGCGCGTGTCCACAAGAGTGTTTACAGTGTTATTATATAGGTATAACGTGTACAGTACAGTACCTATATATACTTGGCATGTTGACACCGAGTGGTGTAATTATCGCGGTCCGATTCATAATACCTTTACTAAAAAAATAAGTCGCTGACGTTCGAGCCGCCATTCAGCATAATAATATCCGTCACGGTCCCTTATATAATACTGTATTTTACGACGATTCGTTTGAAAAGAAAATATCTGCGTCACATAAATTTCGTCGAAAACCGACGTACCGGTGTGTTTGTTATTAATTATTTTATTGTTTCTCTAATTTGTCACTAAGAAAAAAAATCACCGAGAATATCAAAACAAAATGTATACCAAATGTATTCGATATATAGGAATAAGTCTTAGTTAGAAATCGTGTTTGGAAAAGAGACGCGAAAAAAGTTTTGATTTTTTTCGTCGCGATGAAATATCGTCGACTGGCCCTGGGCACCTGCCTAGACATTTCAAAAAAAAAAAATCTCAACGTGAAAACGCGATCGAAAATATGTTAAAAACAATAATAATGTTCGGAGCGTCGAGAAACGCTGGAGGAGGCGCCCGGTCGGCGCGTGAACGTATTTACGGTACCGTGTCGTCGCCACCGCCGCCGTGTGGGTAGTGTCGGAACGTGTCGGCGGCGGCGGTGGACCCAAAACGGCACGACGACGACGACGACGTCAAGTCACGGCACACGGATAAACCCCCGACGGCGCGCGGATCCGTTCCCCGCCGCCTCCGACGCACGTCGCCGCCACACGCGCGCACACGCTCCCAACAGTACCTATATAGTCGTCGCCGTCGTCTGCCGACCGGTCGCGGCCGCACTTTGCGTGTGTGCGCGCCCGTGCATAAATCATGTGGCCCGGTCCGTCTCGCGTCCCCGTGGGCACGCCGTCGCCGGTTCCGCGCGCACGCCTAGCCCTCTGCGGACGCCGCCGAGGACTACTATTATAATATTATTATAATATACGCCTCCCTCGGAAAAAAAAAATTATCATTATGCCCGAATATTTATTATCGAAAATTGTATTTTTTTTTTTTTTTTTTTGTTTTCTTCAAATAATATATCGTAAATACCCACGCTACGAATAAAAAAAAAGAACTGCTCGTGGTCATGCGTACATACGTAAGCCGCGATTTTGGCACGTACATTTTCCGTTAATATATTATATCCGTTGACAGTACCTAAGCAGTATATTATTGGCGATTTTCACGATCTAAAATTCGCGACTGAATTTTTCGATTGGTGATCAATCAGCAAGTCTTCTAATCGAAATCGTGTCAGTTACAGAACAAAAAGCACACGTCGTAGTAAAAACCAATACATTCCTTCGTAGAGTTCACCGATATTAAAAAAAAGTCAACACCAACATTTGTTTAAAGCTAAAACTTTATCTATTTATAGTTTTTTTAATACGAGTTGCTATTTTAAAACTAAAATAAATAATTAATAAGTGAATTTTACTCCCAAAACTAATGGTATATAACAAAAAATAACGTTGATGTAACATTTTAGAGTTGCTTGTTTCTAAAAACTGTCTAAAAAAGTTAATACTACCCGACAATACGATTCTCCTGATTTATACATTGATCTTTTTTTATTAGGACCCCTGATAATAGTAATTCGTTTTAGTATCAGAAAGATCCGAATATTTTATTTTAGATTCTGAGCAGAGCGAGCAATGTATTGGTTTTACAATGATAATTTTTTTTTTTTTTTGTGAACAACTTTTTCACTAGAAATTTTGATCTGATTTTCAAATGCAACACTTTTTCTGAAAAGAAATTTGACTGGAATGGTACTTTAAGGTGGTCATTTTTTGATGTTCCCAGGGGTTTTCATAATAAATGGGAAAATTTACGAAATGTATTATTGTCCAAATCGTAAATATTACGATTCAAAACATTCAAAACATGTATAACCGAACTCCGGCCAGAATCGTTTTTCTTTAGCAATGATTAATCATTGCGTATAGATATACATTAAATTTCCCCTCTATCTTCCCAACTTTTCACCTACAACGGACACCCATCATTCGAAGTATGTCCGTTTTGTTTTTATTCACAAATCATATAGTGCCTTAATATTATAGTTTTCCTTTGGTCCCCATTAGCCTATGTTTAGCCCTGAATCGGTCATTATTAATGGCGAGTTTCTATACTTTTTATTTTCGTATTATATGAAGAACGATAATTTTTTTAAAAACAGAGGCTCTACGAAAAAGAACACAATAAAAGCTCCATTGATCATATTTTGCATTAATCGTGTAGGTGCACTGTACACAAAACCTTTTTTTTTTGTTTTGGTAAAGTACCCGTTCGTCCTACTCCAAACATGTTGCAAAAATATTCAGTAGTTTTATAGGTTTTAGCCGTTTTCAGTACATACTAACAATAAATGCCTATAGTTGACTAAATATTACATAATATGGTATTTACAAAAAAATGTACCTGAAAGAGCATAATATTTTGAGTTAGCCGTAGAGTAAAAACAAATTTTAAGTGTATTTAGTATACATCTAGTATCTAAATTTGGTATGGCATTTTTGTTTTTTTTTTGACCCGAAACTACGATCCAACTACGCCTTCCTGTAAGTTGTTTAGAGTACTTTTTTTTTAGTATGCGTGTGCCACGGTTTCGAAGAAAATCCCATGACACACCGTGGATCATCAATATTTTGTTTTTTATAATAATTGTTATATAATTTTTCTAATTTCGTCAAAACATATATTTAAAAAAAAATCATTTNAAATCCCATGACACACCGTGGATCATCAATATTTTGTTTTCATTCTAATTTCGTCAAAACATATATTTAAAAAAAATCATTTATTGATTTCTATTTCGCCCTAAACAAATAGATATTTTTAGACATTGTTTTTTTTAATACTTTATTCCATGTTAAATACTATTTTTAATTAATCAATTTTGTAATAGTTACTATCAGATAACTTACGAATAGGTAGATTTTTATTTCACATAATATAATATGTTTGAAATTCCAATAACTTTATGGTCTTAATAATGTTTTGTCTCAATATATCTAAGTATACAATTCGAGGTTTATTTTTTTTAAAAAAAACCTCGTTTTTTACTTTTACTATGTTTTAGACACTGTATTTATTTTTTTTTTTAAATTTATAATACGATCTTTTTTGGGATTTTTAACTTACCTCCATTATAGCTGCAAGTATCATATAATATAATAATAATTTTGCATTAAAAATGTTTAATCGATTGTCACATACCTATTAAACATCACTATTTAAAATAACTTTAAATTGATAAATATAGTGTTTACTAAACATAATAATATTTGTAGGTAGTCAGAAACTAGTGGTTCACACAAGACCTGTAGAATTTCATCAAAATTGACGGAGTTATATATCTTGACATACAGATGGAAATGACGAAATTATATGGGTTCCATTTTTGCCATTTTGGCAACCCTAATAATCATTTTGTCGAACAATATGTTCTGATATAGTGATGATATTTATTATGAATGGTTAGAAAATCCCGGAAAATAATCATATGGACTGTAAATGTCGACTGTAATCGGCCGGAAAAATAAATGCTCTGAACACAATATTCTGATTTTCATATTAATGGGGAGAAACCAAAAAAAATTATTGGAAAAGTGGACAAATATTTAAGACACCCCACTGCAATGAATCATCATTTTCAATTTGTACGCATTGTATTTTCTACCAGAAATATTGTTTTAATCAGAAACCCATACGACATCTTCGTTTCATTTTTAATCTAGTTCGTATATAGGGAAGTGGGTTTTAGATTTTTCCGTATAGTTTTTATAACACATTGACGGACATTACTACTATAGCAGTGATATGGAAAATATATTACGTCAATACTGCTTGAAGCAGTAATCTTTCCAATAATATCAAATCATAGATAACAGTGAACTGCCACATTATCAGTTTTTTTTATACATAGGTGTATAAAACTGAGAGAAAAAAATTGTATTTTTAGCGCATTCCTCTTTGTATGATATCGCTGCGAAGCTATTTTAAAATTCAATAAAGGTTTTTATGTGACATGTTTTATACAGATGAATATTTCGTGACATATAATATACATTTTGTGAGATTCTTAAGTCGATAATAATATGCCCCCTCTAATTTCCTAACTATATACATTTTGAAAAAATTAAAAAAAATAGCTTTTGAAATATACTTCTAACGAAAATCATTTTGATAAAATATGTTAATATTAAACAAAATATTTAAACCCTATATTATATATTATTTTAATATTATTAATATATGTTTACTCTATATATATTACGAACCCATGAAGGCCTAAATTTATACGTGCATAATTATGATACACACTTGGTCAGTTTTATAAATCGTATTTTAGTACACTTCTTACAAATTTAAAATTAATATAATATACGCATCATATAAGTGTTAACAAAATTCGTTTTTATAATCGTTTATATTTTAATCATTATTTTTCAGGCTAACAAACCACTAATGGAGAAACGAAGACGTGCAAGAATAAATCAATCGCTAGCGCTTTTGAAGACTCTTATTTTAGATTCTACCAGAACAGAAGTAAACCTATACCTTTTAGTTTTAAATTTATATTTTAAACCTCTGGACGACATTCGTGTATATTTTCAGAATACCAAGCATTCGAAATTGGAAAAAGCTGACATATTAGAGCTTACAGTACGCCATTTACAACGACAAAAAGTCCTGAGCTCAGATGTCAGGGATAAATATCGGGCCGGCTTCCAAGAATGTGCTAGAGAGGTACGTAAGACTCTATCACCAACCCACTTAGAATACTACAGTGCGTTCGACTCACGCGTTAGGGCTGTGTGATTATATTTTTATTTCCAAATAAACTATTTGCATACAATTAATCCATATAATCGATTTTATAATTTATTATTATAATCGGTTATAGTTTATACATAAATTGTAATAAATATACATATATATAAACTAGGTATGTTTTTCCCCTCTCACTCTCTGGCCTATAATATCAGGGAATGTGGTTACGTATGGTACGCCGTCCATTAGTTTGTAGGTCCATGCCCATATCCAATTTGTATGTACCTTATAAATTATAAAGTATATGTTTAATATAAAATCAGTGGCGTCGAAATCAACAGTCAAGGGTGGCGGTCACTACCTATCTTTTAATAGTTGGGTGGTGGTGGTGTATTCATGATTGGTACCTGAACCATATTTTTTTTATCGAATTTGTACATATAAAATATTAATTAAAAGTTTTGTGTGGGAGTTTGTTTTTTAAACGAGTCTATACAATTTTTTATCTGCCCGCCTTATTCTTAAAACATGGTTCGGTACCACTGTATAAAATTGTATGGAATAATAATAATTTTTATTAAGGTTACTGTCTTCATACTAGTAAATAGAGTAGTGTATCTATTTATGTTCGTCATTTATAGTTGGATTAGATTATGTATTAATAATCTACTCATTTTTTAATCGAACTAGATTAAATCGATTATTGAAAATAATCACACAGTCTTACAGCCACGTTTCGTAAATCGTAATTCTTATTCAATTTTATTTTCAACCGATTACTTATACACTATAGGTTACAAGATTTTTGGAGTGTCCGGAACTACATATGTGTAGTACTGGAACCGGAACACTACTCTCTACGGGTTCCGCAGTTATTGAACCGGCTGTAAAGCAACGCCTACTGAGACACTTAGATACGTGCTCATCGGAAATCGACTTGGACTTTAGCAACTCTACAGTTGTTATTCCTGATGTAAGTATATTTTTAGGATAACTTTAATTTAATTCTACACAATTATGTCGTACAATATTTTGTTTATCTCTTAACGGATTAAGGAGTAGATTTTATGACAAAAGCGCGCTGGTAAAAAACTTATTTTGGAATTAATAGTTCATATATATATATATACCAATAAAAAATAAAATTAATTATTATTACACTTTTTTGATAATTGTATAAGTTATAATGTAACAGTTAATAAATGCAATTTATTTAAATCAAATACATTATTTGTACGGCAACGTGGAACTAGACTAAAATGACACACAAAAATGAACCATTCAAGTACACAGAATGTCACCACAATGCCAATTACGTGGTTCTTCCGTGTAAGTAGAAAACGCTATTGACGAACCGGTCCACCAGTTTATCGGGTGGATGGGTCAAGGCGATTTGTAGTACGGAAGTTCTTTAGAAAGACGAATAGTATAGAATCATTTTTAAATAACTAGATACGATAGGATACTATTACGAGTTACGGACGTATTTCGGTTGTAAATTACTCATATATATGTCCATTGGAAATATGAACTTCCAAGGAAAGAAAACTCAGCTGCCAGTAATTTGTATTTAGACTGTATACAATGGCTAGCGCCGTAGCCTATCTTACCCATGTATATAACTTAAAGCACACGTATAAGCGACGAATAACCTGAAGTGACATGTGATCTGCGCACACGGGGTCACAAGCTAGATCACTTGTCTCATGTCTCATCAGGACGTTCTTTTTTCAATGTATAGCCATAGATAGAGATACTCAGATAGCGTTGTTTATAATACGTGCTTCAAAGTTAAAATTATCAATACATATTCATAATGTATTATCCAATCATCATCGGATTTCTATACTGGATTATATATTACGGACTAAATCACTGCCAATAGCCATGAAACCTGTGTATCACAAAGTGCCATCGTACCTAACCATTATTAATATTTAGTTATTTATAGAATATAATACAAGCTGTGTATAATTAGATGACCATTATTGAGATTTTCAAGATTTTTGATTCGAAGACATAATTTCGATTTATTGGGACCAGAACGACCAACCTTGTATAGTATATGGTATTGGTATATATTTTAACTGTAAAATATATCTTGATCACACTATTAATAGATTTTCCTCAGTCAGTGCCTAATTATTTCTCTATTTATTAAGTTTCCTCATAGTTATTTACCAAGCCACTTTACATTAAATTACATAAATGGAGAATTGTTGGGCATCGTGTTTTTTCAGTGTTAATTGTTTAATTCTTGTCATCTTGCCCATAGTTAAGAAAATAGGTATGGTGGCATTAGTTTCATATTTGCTGTGAAATAGTTGATACTTCACGCCTATTTTAATTAGTTTAATTAATTAATTATGGTACAACAATATACCATAATTTTTCGGAATGTAATAATTATACGGAATGATAAAATCCCTGAATACAGAATTCCGGAATGATAAAATCCCTAAATGCAAAATTCTGAAACCTAAATTCTCGGATCTCAACAATCCAGAATATAATATTCCGGAATGATAAAATCCTCAAATGCAAAATTCCAAAACCTTAATTCTTGGACCGCAACAATCCAGAATATAATATTCCGGAATGATAAAATTCGGAAATATAAAAAGCCTGGAACGTAATATTTCACTGACCTTTTCTCTTCACCGAAAATTACTAGATCTAATACGTTTACCCAATTATTTTATCTACTTTCCCAAATTTTTCATCAGTCCTTTATCTTCTTTCGCGTTCTACAAGTTGATCACATTGCATAGATATTATTATTATCTATGACGAAAAAAAATCACTATTGACTATAGACGTTTAATACTATTGCTACTTAATATTTTATTTTTATAAACATCGATATTTTTCCGGATTGTTACGGTCCGTGATTTTGCGCCCCGGATTCTTAGATTCTGGATTATTACATTCCGGGACATTACGTTACGGATTTGTATCGCCTCTATTGATATTATATTTCTACCAAAATATATTGTTCAAAAAATATGTTTCTGTAAACATAGATAATAATTATCGTGTTCACCCATAGACAATAAAGTAATGGATAGGACATTAGTAAATTACATATTAAGATCATTACAGTATTGCGGTCCAATATAATAGGAAATTTAGACCGTTTGTTTACATTATTCTATATGATAACCACTGTAACAAAGTAATTTACCTATACGAAGTATATAAACTCAATTTCATTATTACGTCTTCATTGATAAGCCGCCATGCCCTCTTCAATATTTTATTATCTATGTGTTCACTGCATTGTCCGTACCTATCATAGTCCTAGACTTATTAACCTATTACTAAGTTTATAGTATTTATTGTGTGTTAACTTATACTTAAATTTGAATGTAATTAAACAATATTATCAAAATTATTAAACTAGATGATCATACATTCTTAAAATTTGTATTATTCTATTACTATCTAATGTCATCTATAATATGACAATGTTTAATGAGTACACATAAATCTTCCTCGAGAATTCCAGATCGTAACATCACTAAAATACGTTCAGTGGTTCTTGAAATTAGCGCGATCGTACTGAGAGACGCACACTGGATTGCATAATACATACTACTATACTATAATATATTGACTAAATTAAAAATGTTATTAGGACGTTATTGGTGGAGATGAAGAATCAAATTGTAGCACGATCGACAGTAAAAATGATCGTGTAAAATCTGAACCTCCCAAGAAACGGACTCGTAGTAAATCTGTGGGTGTAGAAGATAAGGTGTTAGATCGCGGTGGCCTGACAGCTAGTGTTGTTGTAGCGCCGACTAATGATCCTACACAACCATTATCTGTTGTACAGGTTAGTGATTTTATTTTCATAGTTACTTAAAAATTATAAAATATGTTTTTTGTAAAATGTATTGACTATTTTTAGGTAATTCCTTCACAACTCCCTGATGGTCAAGTTGTATTCCTGTTACCTAGCCACTACGTGCATTGTCAACAAAACCAAGGGGGCGAAGTAAGACCTCAAGGTGATGAACCTATAGATTTCAGTGTAAAAAGAGAACACGAACACGACAGTATGTGGAGACCTTGGTAAATTCAAAATATAGAATTAGAATTTACAAATGGTCTTTTTTATCATCTTAATTGAAGTTTTCTTATTTATTTCCCCCGTCTGTGATACAACAAAAAGTATTGGTTTTATGTGGTGCACAATTTATTAAGTCTTTTTTTCCTAGAATATTGATAATGTAAAAATGTTATAAAAGATTTTTAGAAAGTTTATGCTTTGATCACTTCCCATAATTATTACATTATTTAGGGATTTTCCCACCATTTTTTTTTTTTTTTTTACTTATAATATTTGTGTTAGTATTACACCATATATTATAAATATCAAATAATTAAAATATGTATATTTATTTTTTAAGAACATGTATCATAACGTTTGTACCTATACCTGTTATTATTTAAAAGTCTCCCTTACTATTTAATCTTATTGAATATTTAATAATTATAAATATGTGCAATATTTTATTTATATGTTATGGCATAAGCCAATAGTTTTTAATTTTTAATATAAATCTAATATTTTAAGAGGCTTGCTGAAAAAGATAAATCAATTTTGTTTTCTTTATTCATAAACTACACTATATTTGTATAATAATTTAGTACCTAATTATAATATCAAAACACGTATTTTAAGTTATTTGACGGATTAAATATTATATCTAAGTTGTATTTTGTATATTGTGGAATGTAATTTTTGTAGTAAGTTCCTTTAGATTATAATACAACATATTCAATTTAAGTTGTAATAAATAATATTCTGTAATTTGCAAATGTATATGTATTATCTGGCTTGTCTCTCTCTCTCTATAATGTTAATCTACATTTTCATCAAATGCATTTAGCTTTGTATATTAGAGTATTACTTTCGGTCATTCTTGTTTGTTACAAGCTTAGAAAATTGTTCCAATAAATTAATTACAAACTATACACATTGTAAATCATAATTTCATTATAACTTGGATGAACTCTCAGTACATCAACATTAGTAGAATTTTTTCTTAAGATTTTAAGTTTAAGTAATTTAGGCTTTATTATTTTGTATTTATTTATTATAAAACTGTTACGGAGTGTTTATTAAAAAATGTAATAAAAGTAGATTTTGCCTTGTTAATGAAATTATGTTGTTTGTTCTTTTATTTAAAAGTTATTACAATTTTTCTTAAATATATCTAAAATTAGTGAAACTCATGTAACTGTCACACCATCTTACTGGCATAACTACGTGTTTTAATGTCCATATTATATTGAACAGTAAAATGTATTTTTCATGTATACAGAAATTTAAAGGATAATGTATTCTGAAATTAGTGTTTTAAACTTATCTTCAGCTGCTGAATATAGATACCTACTTAAATACCTGTTGCAAATTTAGTAGGTATTTAAAAAAAATATAAAATAAAATACGTTTCAATTTATCTTAACATATGACTTGAGTCATTTTCACATTCTCAAATGTTAAAACCTAAAACAATATATACATTGTATTTATGAAATTATAATGTTTTTCAGGTGTAACAAAATTGTAAATAAAATTTATTAACAACATATTTTATATGCTAGAACATTCACAGTATTCATAGTATAGGTGTATTACCACTTTCAGTGGCTTATTTTGTGGGATGCTAGAAAATAGCCCCAGACTGCATATTTTTAGAGGAAATCATGTAAAATACAAATATTGATGATTATAATACTATTCAGTGAAGTATGGTTAAAAGAAGAATCGGTAAAATAATGTGAACCCAGGGCTTCGTAATTTTAAATCTGTTTTGATTATTTTATTAATTGTAATAGGTATATAAGATATATGGATTTAGTAATTATACACTATTATTTAATATTATATTACCTGTAGATATATAAACTACAATAGTTGCATGACTATTATTATTATAAGTTAAAAGATTAGTGATACATAGTAAGCTCAAATTTGTAAATTGTATTTAGAAGATGTTTTACAGATATAAGTTACTTATACATTACATTTCAGTTAAAAAAATATAATTCAATCAAATTCTCTATATGTTTTATAAATATGATAGTTATTAAGTGCTTATAGTAGACACCCTGTGTACTAGAAAGTTGGCACTCAGAGTCATAATATTAAATTCTGTATAATTCAATATTAGTAAACCCACCCTAGAATTATAGATACTTTAGGTCAAGGTAAATTCCAGTTTAATAATTAATAAAAAATAATGCAAGGAAAAATATAGAATTTAATGTTGAAATATTTTTTCATAGTCTGTTATTATAAACTAAACCTTGAGTTACCCAATACCTATTGCATTTTTCATCCATATATTAAAATTCTGTTGTTGAGATTTTAGTGTGTTGTGCCATTTGGAATAGGTCTCGCAAAACTCTGTCTAACAAAAGTAATTAATTAAAAAAATGCATAAAAACAATAATATGTAAAAAAGTTCTATTTTTAAAGAATTATCTCACCCTATTTGTTCTTTCTTGATTTAGTTTATTTGACAAATCATTGATACGTTCATCAACTTCTTCTACATCTTTATGTATTGTTTCATCAGTAGTCTACGCAGACACCAAAGAAAAGAAATATAAATATATGAATTAATATAATCATTAATTTGTTAATTCATCTTATATTGTATTTTTCTTATAAATAGCATTTAGATAGGTTTTATTTATTATAAGTTTTTTTAAGTTAAGTACAATTTGTATTATTTATACATACCTAAATTACCCTAGCCACATCAATTTAGAATTTTCTTTACAGATTTAGTGAATATTTGTAAGAATTTGTACAGCCGTTTTTAAAATTTATACTATCGTCATTCGATGATATTTATGGTATGATAACCTAGGCCCTGTATACTGTGTAACTTTTTTTTTTTGTGCTATCAACCTGTCTCCGAGTAGGGACCTTACGTGCGCAATTCAGGTCTTAAAATATATACCATACTTACATGCATATTGATTTATAAAACATATGTAGTTTTAAACTTAGATAATAAACACTAAATATTCAAAAGTATTTTAAAAAAGGTGTTCTAGGATAATGGAAACGAATACAGCCACTGCTATAGATAATTTAATGTATACCTTTAAGCAACGATAAACCATTACTAACGATAAAACGATTCTGAGGGGCGTTCAGTTGATAGTGATGCTTTTTCAACAATATAGGTATATGTCATATTATGGTAAAATAATTAAATAGGTATTAAATATTTTCTTTAATAATATTTGTTTAATGTTGTACAGATTATGCCGTTTTACCTATTATTTTCCTGGTTTTCCCATGTTTTTCCCGGTTGTTCACATTTACTGAGAAAACTTTGAAAAATCTAAAAAAGATCTAAAGTACCTCCCCACAAGGATTTCCTTTCAGAAAAGATACTACACTTAAAAATTGGACCTAGATTTCTGATAGAAAAGTTGCACACAGATAAAAAAAAAACCTCTTTGTAAACCCATAATTTTCTTCGCTTCACTCAGAATCCATTCAGAATCTAAAATATATTCAGCAAATTCTTAATATTATTAATGTACTCATATTTTTAGATTTTAAACAATTATTTAGCTACAAAATGAGTGTGGATTATAACAATATAATATATTTTGGATCTTCTAAGGCTGAGAATCTAAGAGGTAGTATTTTCAAGATACATAAAGGTACGGTTTTCCTTCAACGTCCAGACATTGCTTCAAACACTGAGCCCCTTGATCAGTGGTTCCTAACTGGTGTCCCGTGGACCTGGTATAAGTGTTCCGCGAAAACTTTATAAAATGTTAAGGGTTCCATCATTCGAAAAAGGTTAAGAACCACTGTCTAAATTATGTATTTTGTGTATGACCAGTTTCCCTGCTCGCGTTTGATGCGGCATCCGGCGTCAGTACCAGTGTTGCGTTTAGACGTCCAGCGTCAACATATCAGCAATTCACAAATGTTCGTTTTCTCAATAGAAGACGAAGCTTTGATTGCACTCATATATTTTTTAAGGATATAATGTATTTGTAATTAATTAATATTTAAAAAAGTAGGAAGATCAAGTATATATTGAATACTGTTCAAAATTAAATTTTGAAAAATTTAAAAATTAGACCTTATATGTGGAAACTACATGCAAAAATGCAAGAAAGACAACGGTCGCAGTGGTTATGATTTACTTTTGAAAAATTAAACTAAAAGGGTGCGGTAAAATAATAAAATTTACGGCATTGGACGCTACAGAGAAAATCAAGGTCATTGATATAAATATCAATTATTAAAGAAAGTAATTTTTGAAAATTCTAAATGGGTGATGGGTCTAATTTATATATTATTTTCTTAAGTTTTAAAACATGATCATAATTGATATTAGGTAGGTATATATTTATTAGGTACTTATAAGTTATAAGTAATTAGTACCCGAACCTGTTTTAGCCACTGAGTCAATGCCTTTGCTCTTTTATTAAAGCTCTTATAAACTTGGAGTGCATGGCCGTACCTTTCCGGAACTTGCAAATCGGTAAATAAATATTCAATAACCTGTAAAACAAAAATAAAAATAAATATTTTTCGATCGATGTAATATGTAGGAACTATTAAATCCGTTTAGATATGAAACCCGTACTTGCAGAATTGCAAATATTTCTCTTGATGTACAATACGGAAATTGAACTCCGGGTAACATGGTTTGCGCCATCCGAACGCTTAGAGCTGCTTGGTGTATTGAATCCCTTGTTTTTAACGCTTGGCGAAACCTTACGGATTCGTCTCTGCAATACAATTAAAATCATTTTTGTGATATGACTTTAATAAGTCCTTTTCACCTTACTCTTCGGTTCGCAGCGAGTGCCAACTTCTATACGCCGTATGACTGTAATCCACGGAATCTTGGGCAAATAACGTGGCATCCTTCCATGACAATTCCCCGCTGACTAACGTGTCTCGGTAACTACGGACCCTGTCCAATTCCTTTTCCAATTGACCCGTACTTGACAATTTGCTTTTTACTAAATCTCCTAAAATTTAAAATTATTCGATTTTTATCATCCGATCCAATTACAGAGTATTATATGCAAATAATGATTACTTAAAATATATATAATGCATATTTAATAATATGTTCGATTTTTAGATATTCTTAGCTCATGCAGCAATTTCGATGTTTACTATGATGTGCGCTATGTTTTCTTTTTAGTTTCTATAAACAGCTTTTCTACAAAGATTTTAGCAAAGATTATAACAATAGTGGAATACGTATTGTTCCAATCAAAAAATACTAGGAATAAACGTAAAAAAAAGAGAAAGTTCACGAAAATAGTTTCATTATTTTCAATTTTGTTTGTTTATTTATTTTTCGTTTTTTTGTTCGGTTAAAAATATTTCTAGGAGCCTGACATTTTTACAGAATACTTTTATTGACCTTTTATAATCGTCATAAAATGTTTATGCTATTTAAAGATATTAAGAATTTTCTAGTTTTTTATTACCTATATCTAAACCTTTAATTTTTATTGTTTCTGTTATAAAAAGTTTTAGGTACCTAACTAGGACGTATTACATTTGTTTTCATTTATTTATTTATTTATTTATTTAAGAAATTAAACGCTAGAACGGCAATGTATAGAGATAGTAAATATATACAATAATAATGCTAACAATTAAAAAGTATTAATAAGGAAAACAAAGAAAAGTTAAGTAAAAAATAAAATATATATACAAAAACTATATACAAATTTAAATTTTCTTTGGTAAATAATTACCTATCTAATTATAATTTATTAATGTACAAAACATTGGCAGAAATTTAGTATTCCAAATTAATAAATTAAATCATTAAACAATATTTCAATAATCATTACTTAAATCAAAAAATGTAAATATTACATAACACTGTTCAAAAATAAATTCTTCATTAAAAATATTATTTTCTTCATTAACTTTTTCAAGCATAATTTTAGTTTTACATCCAAGATACATGCAAATTACACTCAATAAAAATTCATCCTATTTATGAATTAATAAATTTAATTTAAAAAACAATTACATAAATTATTTTTAGTTTGTTAAACCAATAATATAAATTGTATTTTTTCCACAAAATATTTTTATTTTTTACGCATTTTAAAACTAACAGCTTTACAAACAGTGCAATTTCTCAAAATAAATTGTACAATATCTATATAAAAATGTTTAGTCACTTCATAATGAATGTAAAAACTAGCTGGCCGGGAGCTAAAACCTCTACTTTAAAAGTTTGAGAGGGCTTTGTTCCATAAAGCTTCAAGTCTTATCCCCCCAATTTCCACCTATAGTACAAGGTTGACTACATTATACAACTCGCCAAATATTTCCAATGCACACAATTATATTTAAATATTTGTTTATTCTTACTTATTATTAGTTCTTGACTTTCATAAAGTTTTTGCAGATGTTGTACTCTTTCACTAAGTTTTGATATTTCTTCTTCACTTCTAGCTCTCATTTGACTTAACCAATTTAAATGGTGAAGTTTTAAAGACTGAAATTTAAAATTGTAATTAATTTACGTGTATTGATATAATGTTTATTATTATATTAACACACAAATCTGAATAATTATAGAACTTATCGAATTTGCGAAAATGTATTGTAAATAAATAAGACACTTATCTATACGATATCTATTTTGTAACTGGTAAGTATTTGTTTGATTTTAGTCTTAATTATTATGCACTAATTTATTTATATAGATAAACAAATCAAAATTATATACTTTTCTATTAAGATTTGCGATGAATTCTTCATGTTCAATTGCAAGTGTTTGATCCAAATTGATTCGTAATTCTGCCACGACAGTTCGAATTGCGTTATCACTTTCATCTACAATCCTAAATAGGTAGGAAATAATTTATAGATATTTATAATATTTTATATATTATATTTTATAAATAGTTAGATTGATAGGATTTATTTTAATTTTATATCGTCACATTCGCATACTTAGGATTGAAATATTTTTGGGAAAATCGATCATTGGATGTTAATTCAACATCTGCTATACGTTCTTGGCTGAGTTGACTCATTAAATTTTCTATATCGGCTATAAATCGATCCAATTTAGCCATCTCGTGGCCTAAAGACGGAGCCGGTGCTGCTTTTTCTTCCCTAATGATTTCACGCTCTACTTTTTTATATGCTTCAATACCAGTTTCTCTCGAACCCATTCCGTTATCCTACAACATATAGAATAGTATTGTAAATGTTGTTAGTTACTTTAAAAAAATTTTAATGTATTATATTTTAAAATAGGATTTATAAGGTAATACTCCATAGTTCAAAAATAATACGAAATCATAATTTTTTCAATTTTTTATAAAATATTATTTAAAAATCGTATTGGCAAAGCCAAATATATATTCCATAAATATATATATTAGGGTGGTTTAAATCTATATAGGCTTGAAATTTTCTTGAGAAATTAAAAATGAGTACTCTACCATTTTTTTAATTGATATAAAAAAATATTTTTGTGAAAATATGAACTCGATAACTCATCCCCTTCCCGTGCCGCAATAGGGTTGAATTATGGCACAAGTGGGTTTTTTTTTTATTTTTTCTTTACTATTATTTCCAAGTATTTTTGGTATTTTTGTTTTTATTTATTTATTTATAAACAAGATACAACGAAATAGATCTTATTTCAAAAACTGAAAAACAATCCCTTTTTCAACTTTTTTCGATTATTTGGAAAAATAAATCATTTAATGAAAAAAAGTTGAAATATAAATTATACAAAATACTTCTATCTCAAAAAAATGCATCAATACAAATTCTCTTTAACTCATAATTTCATATGAAAAAAAGTAAAAATAAAAATATTATGACATAATAAAAACAAATTGTATTTTTTTAAAAATTGGTTAAAGATTGAATATTATAATGAAATAGGACTTATTTCGCTATATTTTGTTTGTAAATAATCAAATAAAAATCGAATTATTATAAATTATAAATATAAAAAAAATCTGAAAAACAAAAATGCCATAATCATATCAATTGAAAAATGGGGGGGGGACTCATATTAAATTTCGTAAGTAATTTTTTTTTGGACCACCCTAATATATATCCTAAGATTAATGTGTGACATTGATAACATAGATAGACATTATACTTATGTTATTATTAACTTGAGTTCTTAATTTAATAATTTAAGTATATGGTACAAACCATATAATAACTACGTATTATTTCTATATTTTATCATTATGTTTTTTTATTTTCTTGTGTATTTAATTTTCTTAAACTTGTGTAACTTCACTGGTTAAATTTGTATAGAAATCATCAAAAAAAAAAAAACATATTGTTTTTATGTTAATCTATTTTGTAACTAATAGTTATACATTTAATTTTGAAACCGATATAAGTAGTTATAGTATTAATGAATATACGTCTATTCATTAAAAAATTTAAAATAAAATAATTTTACGTCCATTTCCTTCAGCTAGCAAATTGTATACGCCCGACAGTCGCTACACATTGTCAGGTCTTCGACCCGGTCATGAGAAGGGCGCATAAATATAATCTGATTAAATGCCATTAATCTTAACACGTCTAATAATAATATGTTCTCTTATCCAAATATCCAATTTATAAAATAAACACGACAAAAAGTTTGCAACAAATTTACATAACATAAATGATGTAGATATACCTATATATATTATCTATAACACATAAATTATCAAGGTTTGATTGGCAGTCGAAAGCTTCCATATTATTTAATATTGATCAAATGCTTGAAAAGTTCATATATTATTCAATATAAATTATAATAGGTTAATAATATACTTTGTCATAGTTTAAAATTGGCTTATTCATTATTCATAGTAGGTAGGTATATAATATAAATATACTGATTGAAAGATAAATATAATATAAGAGTAAAATAAAATCCTTGTCCTGAAATCTTTTTCTGACCATTGCCAATTATTTAATTATAAGAAACACGACTAATTTTTCAAAAATATGAAACAAATACATCGGACTAGCCCACCATCTGTAATATTTTATACCTACTAATAAATGGCCTTCCATAATAATGTATAAGGTTTATAGCCGCTACCTACTTAAAAACTAGTGACTTTGTCCTGCTGTGGTATCTATATAAACAGTTAATTGGCCTGTGTATTCCTGTTGTCCATTAAAAAAATTTTAATATTGACAATTATTATTTAACACCTATTAATAATATTAAAATGAAGAATAACAAAACAATTGACAGGTATATAAAAAATAAAACAGTTATTAGGTATAGGTATTGATTATAGAATAATATAAAATATAAGATATGTATATACATATAGGTATTATATAAGATTTCAAACAATAGAGAAAGTATACACAAATAATAAATAAATAAGTAGTAATAATTCGAGTATATAGAAATATTTTGATTTTAGATTTTGAGTCATAGGCATAACTAGACCACCAACTTTGAAGTTGCTAACAATATGGACACATCAAAGACCCATGGGCTAAGCCCCCACAATCTCCTTTACAAGAGTCAACTAGATACACCTTTCATTTTCAATTTTGTGTATACAAATTTATCATAACTATTAACATTATTTTGTATACATTGTCTATAGGAAATAGTGGTGAGCCGATATAACTTTATTACAATATTTTAATATTTGCCGATATAAAACCGATAACCGATCCGATATTTGAAATCAAAAACTGTTAACCGATATTAAGAGTTTTTTTAAAAAAAAAATAAAAATATTGTTCCGAAAATATCGGGTCAAATATCGGTTTGAAAAAACAAAACGATATTCGATATTCAGATATCCTCAGTATCGGCTCTTATACGATATTGATTTATACCGGTACTCACCATTAATAGAAAACCTGTATTTTGTTTTGCGCATTAATTATGAAATATACGGATAAAATATTTAATCGTTACTAAAGCTGATTGAGTGTCTTGGGGGTGCTAATGACACCCTAGAACCTCCTATAGTTGCGCCTGTGTTCTGAGTATAACAAAGCTTAGCTATGTATTTTTTTTTTTCAGGAAACACTTTCATAGTTTTCAAAAATGGTCTGACTTATTCACGTCTTACGTTGAAACATGCAGATTTTTTGTAGATGGTACTTTTTTTGAATAATTTATATACACATTTTCAGCAGTTCACTTCCTAGGTCGTTTTTTTTTTTATATTAATACTATTCGTTAACAAATCGTTTTTTCGTTAACAACGTCTATAAACTAAATTACTAAATTACTCTCTATAATAACATATATCTTTACAACTAACCACCTACAAATTCAAAATAAGACGCAATTTACAACAACCCATTATAGGTGGCCTATTACCCCGTAATCAGTAGGTATCAACTTCTTATTATATTACCTTGCTTTATAAACTCGTAATTTGACGCATTGTACAAACATTAATTATTACAGAAATAACATTAGGGTACAGATTTCGATGTGAAAAAATCACAAAATAGTATTTTTTATAAAATAATACATACAATATATTTCATGTACGAGTATATATATTATTATAGGTTTATAGGTATATATAGGTACTTAACGTATACATTATGTTAATTAAAATTCATCGACAATTTATTTTTACTTAGTTTTAGTGAAACGTGATTATATTGTATTATTATCACAGCTTGCAATAACGGTGAGTGTTTAATCTTACATGACGACAATTTTTGAGATTAGACATTTTTTTATATCAATGATACCTATATTATGTTTTAGTGTGAAATTATTCGTGTTAAAAGTAATTAACAGACACAGTAACAATAACCTATAACATTTTTAAGCTGTATTAATCTATAACCTTGTATACAAATTACAACGATAGGTATGATTATGACATAGTATATAGGTAGGTACATTTGTAGGTAGGTATCGTTTTATCGTAGTTTAACATACGTCAATAAATATAGACCGCTTTATAAAAAAAAAACTTGTAAATAAAAATAGATAGGATAAGTTTTTTTTTTTTATAGGTAAACTAGGTACTAAATTTACTCACAAGTCACAAAACTATTTAGAGGGATAATATTGTCCTGCAAAATTCCAAAAAATATTGAGTTATTTTAAATAATAAAACTCTTAATTTAACACATTTTTAAAACTTTGTTTGCGATGATTTTGATTGATTTACCTGAAATTGTTATATATGAGTGTAATATTAACAAAAAAAAAATACATTTTTTTTGCGAGTGCGTTAGACCTATTTCATTATACATAAATTCGTATGTTTCAAAAAATGTCTATTATTTGGTTACTATAGGAAACATCTAAACATCATAAAATAATATTATTTTAGACAAACGCCATTTTAATTTCCAAACATTTCTACAAAGAATTTACCAATTTATATCTGATCATTATGGATTATTGAATACGATGCACCCTATAAATGTATTGTTTAGGCTTATATTTTTTTTTTCTATGAAAAAAAGAAAGATATTTTATAGTTTAAATATAGATACGTACCTAATAAAAGTTAATAGTTCATATTTATTGTACATAGTAATGAATATCAAAAATGTATTACCTATTTAATAAAGTATAGTAACTAATATTTTAATTTAGACAATTGTACGCTACCGATTGTCTATTGTTTCATTCAAATAGGCATCTTGCCAATCCAAATAAATAAGTATCAATTTTTGTTAGGGTTCTTAGAACTATTACTGAAGGTAAAACTAAAGGAAAATTCTCAAAGCCAAATTTGATGGTAAAGTACTACTTTTTAAATAATATTTTAAGTTTGGAAAAATTTCCTATACGAGATTGAAGATTGAACGGTAGAATTATATTTATATTTTCAAAACTTCAAAAAATGTAAATATAATAATATTTTTTCCGTAAAAAACTAATAATTTGGGGTTCGCACAGGCATGCGTTTGCATACATATCTTTATATTACATAACAAACAGTACAACATCCCTATATTGACTTCAACGTGTCTATGAACTTTTTAAAAATTGCCTGAGACCATGACGCATCCCATGGGATTATAGGAATGTCTAACGTACATTTCAAAAGCAATTGTCAATAATTATTTAGGCGTGTTTGTTATTATTTATTTCGTGAAAAGATATTAAAAAAAAAAATTGTTTATATCACAAACATATGTATAGTATCTACCTAAATTACTTATCCTATAATGCATCGTGGTTTTTTTTTTTTTGTTCTTGAAAATATAATCAGCTCAATAATTATACAGTAAAAAATTAATATTTGCCGCGCAGCCACGCACTGTATTTATCAATAAATAATGTCCAATCAAGTTACTATTAGTCATTCTTCAATCAAATACTGAAAATTCACACTTTACATATATGTTTATAATGTTTACATAATATTAAAACAACCTTGCCAAGACATTAAAATTATATTTGGACTAATATTTAGGCTAAGCTCTTAGTTGCAATATACGTAACATATTGTACTCGAAGCAATACTCTATTACAATTACCTACGTGAAAATGTAAGAAAAATTATTAGTTGCGTTCAAACTTTATTATTATATCTATGGTTGTTCTGTGTTTTAGATAAACTGGGGCAAATGTCAAATGTATTCCTTGGCTGACTCAAACGATATTATATACATACATAAGCACACTTGGAAAATATATTATGCATTTAAACATTTCATTAAACAAATTATAATTTAAAGCGATGAGGTAATGGATTCTATATCTATAAGTAGGTACATTACTTCCACGTTTCCAATAAACAATAATAAATAATCTTGGAACACAATAATATTTATATTACCTACAAGGTAGACGGTAGACGTGTCATAAAAATACGAAAAGTGTTTTTAGTTTGCTGTTTGTTACCCATTTGTCATAAGCTATTATTAGTTAAGTAATAAATGATGTATAATATACAAAATTATTTTAAAAATTTGAAAATAATAAATTCGAATTTGGCAAAACATTCTTAAGTATTTTCAATTCGTATAAGTATAGAAGTTAGGGCCAGAAATATAATTTTTGGTATGAACACTATAGTTATTCCGAAAAATGCGTTAAATTATACACATAATAGTATAATAATAAAAAAGTAATTAAATTTATCAGATCGTCATAAACTCATAACACATGATGTAGATGTATTCTTCAATAATTTATAATACTACCATACAGAAACATACCATTATACCAATCAGTGTTAATGTGATACTTGTACCTAACTTATCATTTATTAATAATTAATGATCGTTGTAAAAATTAAATCCTTCTAGGTATAAGTAAAAATATGTGTGTATGTTATTGTTAATATAGATTACTGATAGTGTATAAAAACAAATAACATATTATATTTTATTATAATTTATTCAATTTAATTTGTATACATTTTATAATTTGTGCAAAAGTTTTTACATTATATAGTCACGTTAAATATAGAAATATATACCAGTTTAATTAATTAAAATAAGAACAAATTACGATTGAATTCCATAAAAATAGTTGAATTCAAATTATTCAAATGGGAAAAATAAATGAATTCACCAAATTTCAATTGGTTGTCGTGACAGTATTGGAGTTTCAAATATCAAACAGTGAATAGGTATACTATATGGTATATATTAATATTATTTTAAACATTTTTAAAAACCTTTGATCAAACCGTTTTTAATTTAAGATGTACACAGATTTTATAAAGCCTACACGTAAACTACAGGTATTTCGCTCAAAAACATGATTTAAAGGAAAAACTCGCATGCTTCATAGAGTTTACGGATTCCAATTATTTTTATTTTTAGATTCGCAACGCAACGGCATTACCGTTTTCATTGTTTTATTATGTTTTCTACCAGAAATATTACTCCAAACGAAAAATGATATGAGATCGATTTTGTTCCTGTTAATACATAGACATTATCAGAGAAAATCGTTTTTTGTATAACTAAAGTATTTTTCATAAAAATTGGGAAAAACTATTAATTAAAATAATTTTGTTAAAAGTCGTAAATATTACGGCCTTTCAAAACATACATAACCGAACTTCTCTCCGAATCGTGTTTCGTTATCAATGGTTTATATTCGTTGGTTACAGGCATAAATTAAATAACTTTATGTATCCCACCTTCCCTACTACCTATCTACAACAGTAGCAGCACCGTCCCCAGTATCAACTCTTTGTTTTTTTTTTATTGCTGGAAAAAGGAATATGTTGTGCAGTGTGTTAGAGGTTAAATACAAACAATGTTCACCATTTGTTTGTGATTTTTAATATTATAATCAAAAATTGAGGCCCGATGCATCCTATATGAAGTATTCTTCTTTTCAATAGGGAAAACCAATTATCGAAAGCAGATCACTCAACTAGGCATGAAAGTTAAAGCATGCTTTAAGCAAAAAAACAAGATACATGAAGGTCCATTAATATAAACATTTTACTGATTATTACACTGATTTAACCATTTTTTTAAAATTATTAATTGTAAATATTAACAATTCGTTAAAAGCTTCGAGAAGGTCTCTTAAAATTTATTCATTGAACCTAAGTAAACTTTAGTATCTCTTTTATGTCGTTTTTTGACGTAGTTTTTGTTCGATAGGTACTGTGTAGATAAAATTGTTAAACCCAACAGAAATACTAGAAAATTTAACAGACGGTTCATTATAAATTGTTTAGGTACTTTGTGGTAAACAAAAAATTGAGTGTAATATAATTTTTTTTTTTAAAAGAATTTTAATATCAAAGTTTAATGAAAATTATTTTATTGAAAAATTATGTAAATATTTTTTTGATGTTTGACTATTGAAATGTTTAACTATCTAATTTCTTTTTTTTTAATGTAGTAATACTAAGCATAAATTTAAATTATGGATACAAGTATTTATTAAGATGTTTTTTACATATTCCCCCCTTAATTAAATATTTTTTTAAATTATCATCCTACACCGGGTTAAATATATTAAATACATAATCACTGGTGATTTGAAAATTCACACATTATTTGTAGCATATTGGACTTTCATATTATTGAAAAGTAGATACAATATTAAATAAATATTATTAAAGAAAATGTATGATACATATACATCCTGTATATGTCACTAAGCTCAATCACTCCATTTTTTTGGTTAAATTTTGCATGTATTGAAATTCTGATTTTTGGAAATTTTAAGTTTAGTTGAAAACAATATTTCCAAATATGTATTTAGATTTATCACAACATTTAAGGAGTATCTTGTGATGATACCAACTTTGGTTTTTTCAAATGAGAACCTACATACATTCGGGTGCTAACATTTTTGATTTCCGTCAAATCATTAATGAGATTTTCGGTTTTTAAGTTTAGGTAGGGGTAAAGAAGTGGAGTATATGGAGATTTGTGCGGCGATACGGTGCGCGACGTTTTAATAGTGTTCTACTATTCTTCTACCAAAATAAAAGTCGAATATCTCATCAATTGTTTGACGGAAATCAAAAATTCTAGTACCAAAATGTGTTTAAACTAATACTCCATCTATTTATGGAATTTTTAATATAACAGATTCTCATATGAAAAACCAACGTTTGTATCGCTATAGGATACTCCTTAAATGTTGTGAAAAATCCAAGTATATGAAAATATCGCCTTTAAGTAAACTTAAAAATTCCAAAAATCAGAACTTGAATGTATTCAAAATTTAACCAAAATAAAGTGAGCACGCTTAGTAAATCACCATGTATACTATTGACAAAACAACACTATTAACCAAACTTCACTTAGAATCATTTATACGATATACAATACATTTCTCTTCTATACCTTCCCAACTTCTACAACAGTAGCTGTCCCATCGTGCGAAGTATGTACGTCTTTTTTTGTTGTCGTTCGGTTGAAAATAACTATTAAGGCCTTAACTTATATTAGTACTTTCTAGACATAACAACATTTTGGCGATTTTTGAGTTGTTTAGTTCTATTTGAAATTTTCGAGTTCTTTAATAGTTTTTATTATTTACAGGTTTTATGTCAATAAATTTGTTTTAGAGCATCAAAAATTCTCGTAAATTTGAGTTAAGGGTTATCATAAGTTATTCTTATGATATCACTATAATAAAATATCGATAATCCGTATCCGTATTTTTCATTTTTTTTATCAACATTCAAAATTCAAATGTTGATATAGGCACTAAACGTACATATTATTTTCTAATTTTTTTAGATATAACTTCTTAGCTTAATAAATATACTAGTTAGTAGTAGTTACTAGAAAATAAATTTACTAAGTTTGAGACAAAAACACATACAATTGTAATTTATTTTAAAATTACAATAAATTTATGTTTATCAAAACATGGTTAACTTGGCTCAAAATCGTTTTTCTTTAGAAATAACTCATCAAGTATAGATTACCTAAATTGCTCTTAAAATATGTATTAAGTAGTAATAATTATACTAATAAATAACAAGTCATAATAATGTCTAATATTATATAAACTATGTTATGATATTTCCATTATCAAAAAACAATAAAAAAATAATACTTACACTTATGCTTCTTTGAGTGCTTGGGGCACATCCCATATTTTTTTATGCAATTCATTCACCATATCGTTTGCGATGTCCCCTCCTCTCCAACCGCCATCCTCCATTTCGATATACTACCTTGATTATATACTAACAATCAAGAAAATAACTTAAAGAATACTAAAATGTAATATTATAATTTAAAAAAAAAAAAAACACCTAATATCTGGACTGAACGTACATTTTTTTCAACAATCGAATAGTTAATGTTCAAGTAGCAAGTAACCAATATTGTACATTTGTAATGTAGATAGGTACTGAAATTATTTCGATTTGTAGTGTACTTACGCCCGTGTAACTATAGCAACTCGCGACCTTGCCAAAACACTCACTAATTTTTTTACATTCGTAAAAAAATTATACGTGTATACTCGATAAATATTATATTTTTATAGGTGTTGCCCGAAAAGTTACATAGTGATATATACCGTATGTGTATATATATATATAATAGGTTTTACTCAAATAGGTCAATATTTTCCTATTACAGGGAGGATGTCTCAAGGACTTTTGAATACATACGTAGGTACATTAACCCTTCAATTAAGTGACCCTAAAAACTCATTCCTATAGGTAGTTTATATTATCACGATGATTTTAGCAATTCTCTCTATATTGCACGTATAAACAATAACGTATTTTTATACTAATGAAACTTGAGCCACTAGATTTCATTTTTTTTTTCATTATACATTTAATATTAATAATAATGTCACACGATGTTAATTTCTAAAATATTTTATTTACAGAACTTTGATCATTTATGCATTGTTATATTTAAAACTAATTTTTAACCTTTAAAGTGTAATAACTTATAAGTAGTAATTATTCGTGGATCTATTACCAACGTAATTATAATTATTTTATTGAAAGTACCATTGATTTTATAATCGACTATAATATATTTGATCGATGCAGGTACTTTCCTAACCTGCATTAACATTATTCACATTATTGTGCCATATATTAAACTATACAAGTTTAGTATCAACAAGAGAGCTCACATAGCCACTTGTATTCCTATTTAGCATACATAGGTACCTAATTAATTTGAACTGAAGCGTAAGATCAGCATTTTTTTTTTTTTAAATATTACGAATGCTAACTTATATTATTTTATTTTCGTGAATTCGGGTTCGTTATAATATTCATAAACCCATATTCAAAATTGTCATTTATGATAAAACACGTTTTCGTCATAATTATAAAATTTAATAGAATTTTATTTAACGCTGATTTTATTAGGTGTATACATTCATAATTCGTAGATATAAGAAAATAATTTTAAAATTGTAAAGTTTAGATACTAAGTGTCTAGGTACCTACCTACCTACCTACCTAGATTACCTATATAGATTATTATTAATAAGATAGGTAGGTACTTTTTAGGAATTAATTAAAATAATAATAACATTGCCAATTTTTCTTTAGTATAATTCGTAACATTATTTATTAGGGTAAAAATGATACCAATCTTCCTATTCAAAAAGACGCAACATAGTACACATGTACAGTGGCGCAAACAGAGAGGGGGTTAGGGAGTCTAAATCCCTCCGAAATGTCTTCCTTCACTACATTTTTTAAATCTAATTTTACATTCAACAACATAATATCGTTTACCACAGAATAAAATAAAATTTAATTTCATCAAACATAATTTATTCAGTAATAATAGTAATTGTAGATACTAGGTACTGTACTGATAATAAGTACTATCCTCTCTTGGAAATTATTTTAAACAAAATGCCTTCCGAAAAAAAATCCTACGTGCGCTACTGCACATGTATTTGTTGTTTCCATCTTACAAATTCACGATATAGTTAAAACATGCTTACGTAGACTATAGTGATTATACATAAAACTTACTTAATTTTGGTTTTAGAGTAAAAAAACATATTATAAAACTAAAAGAGAACTATAGAGAACAAGACGTTGTGTTTTTTCTATTTTCTCATACATCAATCAATCAATTATATATATATATATATCAATATATCAATCAATTTATCGTTTATAAATAACTATTTTTTCAATATTTTTTTAATTCACTAAAACTTTAATAAAAATAATTGTATAATAGGTTCATTTATTCTAAAACCGAAAACTAAGCGGTGAGTTCTATCTAACTAATACTGCACGTTTTTAGTATATTGTATGTTTGTAAGACGGAAATAACAAATTTAATGCATGTCCTTTTAATCAGTATTCTCGAAAATAATAATATGGTCGTATATCTATTTTCTGCAGTGTGTTCGATTTCTATAGCACAGCAGTTGTGCTACTAGATACTAACTAGTAGTTACTAGCAGATTACCAATATTTATGTATTTCTGTATACGTACAAATAATAATTCTCATGTGGTTTTTATATGTCATGACTTGTTGAATTACAGATAGTTACTGAATAATCGATATAATGTATAAGTGTGCCCTATTAAATGTATGAAAAAAACAACACGTAAGTATTTATAGTATTTTAAAAATAAAATTGTCGGTAATGGGTATAAAATAAAATGTTTACACCCCGAAGAAGAAATTTAATGTTTTATTTAGCATCATCAGTATACGTAATGCAAAATTATTGTAAAAGTGTATATTAAAAAAGTCGTTCTAGGATAATGGAGATGGGTGGCAGCCTCTATTATAGGTAATTTACCAGGATACATGTAAGTAACGATAAATCATTGCTTACGAAAAAACGATTCTGAGCAGAATCTAAATTATAATTAAACGAATAAGTATAACTATAGTACATTAGTAAGTAGTAGAATTTAGTCAGTAAGTGCCAAATTGTATTTCTATAAATTTGCCATTATTTTATTTTTATTAAAATTGTTTATTATATTTTTTTTTTGTAACTTCATAAACTAATAGCTAATATATTCGTGCGAAGCCGTACCTAGGGACTAAGGGGGTGCAAGAGGTACACACGCATCGGGTGCTATGACCACGGTGACGCCAAACAGAGCATAAAAAGGTAGGTAATGAAAATGTTAAAAGTTCTATAATTGAAGATTTTTACAATGAACTTACAAGTACACCACAACGGAAGGGTTTAGCATAAAAGATTACGATGAATTTTTTATTTTTTTTTTTTTGCTTATTTGCTTATCGGTAAATTTTTCCGGCACCGGGTACGGATTTTGCTAGGCATGGCATTGTATTTATGTATACCTATAGGTAGGTCCATGTATATAAATATATATATATATACAAAAATGTAGTCAGATTATTTATCCCTAAGTTTATATTTTTGACGTATAAATAATCAATATGAGTAGGTATTATAGAGATGGTTTTTATTAGTAAAGTACAGTGACGTAGCTAAGGGAAGGGAGAGGCTGGTGGGTGAATTGATCGCCCCCTTTGGAATTTTTAACCTTTAGGTAATAAAATAAATACAATAGTATTTACCTATACCCTTGAGTGTATTACAGTTTTTAGAACTCCCCCCCCCTCACTTGATTGAGCTCCAGCTACGCTACAACTGGTAGAGTAGGTATGCAAAATTACCGAGGTTAATTAAATTTCTTTTTTTAATGTATAGACTAAAATTGTGACTGTTTTATCTACGGTTATTAATTTCGTATTTCACACGCATGTGCTTAAATTTGACCTAATTATTCGCCTTTCCAATAAACCACAATTATAATTTTCTAACAGAATCAATTAAATCAAAATATTTCATTAAATAATGACTATCTAATATCTAGTTTAAAGTCATTTTTAGGGTACAATAAGCAATTGCATAAGGGAAACGTCGTTTACCAGGCCACTGGGTAAGGGGTATAGCCTATAAGGTTAAGCTAGGTTACGATCGTTTTTTTTTTCCGGCCTCGTTGTTTTTTGAAATCGGCACGTCACGGAATTTAATATTGTCCACTACCGAGTGCGTGCAGCTGGCAGTAATAATAATCTATGGCATGTCTTCTCGAGAATCCGTAGACCTTATACAAAGTAGGTATAGACGTAGTATAGTTTTGTATAAGGTCTATACGAGAATCAAGATCCGTCGGATAAATTTCCAATATCTTCCACACACCTGACCCAAGGTCGTCGATGTGAAATACTATGCACTTATACCGTATATTTATATTATAGAATATATAACTAATGTGTCGTGCGTGTCACGACTCACGTATACACGGTTAGCGTGCGCGTATGTGAGGAGAATTTTAATTTTAAAATGGAACCGGACCACTAAGCAATAACCTGAGACTCAATGGTATTTACCGTAGCCGGTAAATGGTAGGACGCGGTAACGGGTTACATCAGAGTGGCGACAAATGGCAAAATAACATTATACGTCGCTATTTCAATTGTACACACTAAACGAAAGGATAATATGTCAGCACTGAATCTCTCGGTTATCAATTTATCATCATCGGCTTATCACGATTAGTACTACTGGCTATGGTCAATGGTTATAGACTAACTTGCCGATGTGTTTTTTTTAATCGTCGAAACGAAACCAATTTCATAATTTTACTCTGCGTCTCAACCGTTGCCAGACGAATCAATGTCATAACATCAACGAAAGCTCGACTAATCGTGTTATGATCGTCTGGTAGTTCGGAATTATTATTATTATGGCACTTTACGACAACAAACATTGGCTTCTCTCCCACATTAGGAACTCGTTCATATCGTCTGACGACACAGGTAATTACAAATACGTTTTATTATCAAACTACGCAACTTTTATTATGAGATTAGACTTTCATAATTAACAATTTTAATATTATCATCAATATTTTGATGACCGTATTACCACAAGAACTTATATTATTATTGTGCACGGTACGAGTGTTTAGAATAGTCAAACAGGCAACACTGTTTACTATCAAGGTGTCTCAAGGGTGGGGCATAGTTATCTGGAGAAAATTTTTTTCAACGAAAGTTTTTTCTGGTGTTTTAAAAAAAAATAGGTAATTACCTAGAAATTCCTCGCCGTGTTCTGTTCCGTATTCATTTTTTACGCCATATTACGCTTTGTAATGTTTCAACGGAATTAGTTCTTATTTTTTATTTTTTATTATAATTCCGTGCAAACGAATCGACATACCTATCTATTATTTTTATTCGACAAAATATTGTTGTGTGTTACTTTGTATACCTACTTATTATTGTGTTGCTTGAAATATAGACCGCCCAGGTACAGAATCCATTCAGCACGAGTAAACAACAATCTGTGGTCTTTGTATAATCCAATGTAACGTTTTAATGTCATTTTTATTACATTTTTTTTTTTTTAATATTGTGAATTGTATTCCATTTCTCATTAGATCGCAAGTGCTATAATTATAACTAATTTTTTTGGTTAGATATTCGTTAAAAAAAAAAATATTTATCCAGTATACCTACTATTAAATTATCGTGGTTCCAATTTTTAAGTTTAATAACTTTATCTAGAAAAAAATCATGGTTGTTAATAATGATATTGATTTCCAACCGTTCCAATCGTTAGTCAATGTCGACAGTATACCATTTATTATTCCGGAATGTGCAATCACTAAAAAACAGCCAACCAAGACGTTTGGTGAAATCCAACATCTCATCACTCATGGACGACACAAAGATGTTAAAAAATTACTCCGAAGCCACCATTGGCCGGCCGATAATATGATTCGAACTCAGCTCTGGTCGGCACTATGTAAACAACATAATAACAATAATATGACAGAAGGTTTCTATTGGGATCTAGTTGTACAATTATTTGGTACTACAGAACTACCTGACAAAACTAGTATATTACCACCATTTGTCGATTCAAAACATAGACATATTTATCATTTAAATGCTGTCGGCAAAGAAGTAACAGATCGCGTTGTTTGTGTACTTGGATTTGCGTGTCCTGATATCACTTATAGTCCAGCAATATATTCATTGGTATCATTATTTTTGCATTTTATGCCTGAAGAAGAATGTTATAATAGTTTAACTAGTCTTGTTTCTTCAAAGCAATTAGTTTTTATGACTCAAACAAAATCATTATATGAAGTTACATGGAGAACAGTAATGCGAGTAACAAGAAAACATGCTAGTCGTGCTTCAATGCATTTAACAAAATTTTGTTCAATAACAAAAATGGAACATGTATATGCCGATTGGATGTGGTGGATTTTCCAAGGTCTTCCATTCCACCACATCGTAAGAGTTATGGATTGTTATTTACATGAAGGTATTAAAGTATTATATAGAGTTGCTATAGCTATATTGAAACTTTTTTATAAATATTCTAGTAAAAGAAATTCTCCTTGGGCTCTAGAAGCTCTTAATAATGGATTAGAAAGTACATTAATGAAATTTTGTCGACAAATGCCTGTAAGTCCAAATAAATTATTAAAAAAGGCATTTAGTATAAGAGCATTAAGTGCTGCATATTTGCATAGAATATTTGTTAAAACTGAAATGTCATTGAAGACAAAAGCAGGTGTATCAAATTCACATCAACTGATAAGGTCTCGTTCTAGTGAAAATTTACCTACTAGTCAATCTCAAGTAAATATTCAATTAATGTCACATACTCTTAGTACACGAGAACTTTTTACTTTATGGTCTTGGTTACCAATGCGAATTACAATGTATCAGCCAATTTTATTGTATACTACAGAAGAACACGGATGCAGCTTAACTACATTTTACTTTAGAGTCGAACAACATGAACCAACATTACTAATTATTAAAACTTGTACTGATGATGTATTTGGAGCATATTGTTCTACTAAATGGCTTGAAAGGAATAAAAAAGATGAAAGAGGAAACAGAACTGCATATTTTGGAACAGGAGAAACATTTTTATTTAGTTTGTTCCCTGAAAGATCTAAATATCCCTGGGTCGGTATGGAAAATGATAACGTTTGTCATTCAAATGAACTTTTTATGGCTGCTGATTCTAAAATGATAACTATTGGTGGTGGTGATGGTCAAGCAATTTGGATGGACGAAAACATAAGATTTGGAAAATCAGATAGCTGTTCAACATTTAATAACCCTCCACTTTGTCCAGGGAAAGATTTTGAAATCAAAGTGTTGGAGGTTTATGGTTTTGGAGGTGCAATACTGTGAAGAGGTGGTGGCCGTGATTGTAACTACCTAAAATAAACAATGTTCTACTATTGAAGGTTTCTTTATTTAATTTTAGAATAACTAATAATCAGTGCTTGAATTGCGGGATGGGGCCAGGCAAGCAAGGAGTATTCCTCTATTTTTAAATATTTTGTATCGCCACTTATGTTTTCTTTTTTTCTTTTTGCTGCAACACAGTGATAGTACTTCACAATACAGTGATATATTTATTCATTCACACTTATGTTCTAATAAACTATTTTGTAATTCAATATTATTATATGAAATATAATTTGAGTGTAAGGGAATACACCAATGCTAGAAAATACTTATATTTTATTATGTTTATTTCATAATTTAATATTAGTTATTATAACAATATCTTGAATTAACTAATCAATACAATTGATTCAAATAAGTAATCATAATATTTAAAATTAATCTTTAATGATATGAAATCATAGTGTTATATGAGATGTTGGATCATAACTAATTGTATGATAAAGTAAAAAACCAATTGTTTAGATTCCAAGATGGTTCTCTATTGTTATGATTCTAATTCAAGCACTGTACATTAAATAATTGTATATTTTAAATGTTTCTTATAAAAAATATTTTTTAGGGATTAGTGAGGTTGTCATGGGTGGAGAAAATTTGCTTCAAACATTATTCACGGCAAAATGTGATACATATCCAGGAATTGAAGATAATGAAGAAGAAGAAGAAATTGCTCAATCACTTGATATTCATACAGGTAAAAATATAAATAGAGCATAATTTTTGTTTATATAATTGATTTTTATTTTTTTAATTCTAAAGAATTTGGAGTACGTCGTCAACGATCCCATACGTCAGTTCAATTAGAAAGATTACAAAGAAATATGATCAAATCTGCTAATTTACGCCATATAAAATGGGAACTTACGCCTGTTTCCCTTACAGGTATTTTAAATAGCGTTAATTATAATTTATTTCTATGTATGAAATATTTTAAATGCAAAACTTATTGTTTTGATAGATTTAAAAGTTATGTGCATATAAGTTTTTAACATAAATTCAGAAAACCAAAATGTGAAATAATTTAAAACTCAAATTTAGTATTTTTGATTAAAAATACTATTTGTTTTCTTGCTTTATTAAAAAGTAATTTTATGTGACTGGAATTTTTTTACTCAAAAAATAAATCTAAATTTGAATATTTTTATCTAGATTGGGTCAGGGTAAAAATCAATTATATCTCATCTTGAAACTAAGTATGGCAAAAAAAAATATATAATGATTTTTAAGTGTATAATATACGTAGGTATGCTAAAAAAAAAAATTATAACTGAAACTAGTTGGTTTTAACTTACTCATATAAATTAGAAATTACGTTTTATAGATCGTTAAATCTTAAAATGATAAGAATATAAGGCAAATTCTCAATACCCTTCAAAGTTGGGATGGTTTTGACATATCAATGTATATTTATACACTATATATGCCACACATGATATAATAATATTCTATATTAACACAATTTTTTAACATTTAGATGAAGAAATGGCTGAATTATTTCCCAAAAAAGATATCACTAATCAAAAAATAAATTATAATTCTGAACTAGCTAAATTACTGAAAGCTTGTCCATATCTGCCACAGAACCCTTTTCGAGAATATTCTAAATATGATGGAAATGTAATTACATAGTCAAATCTTAAATTAATTTTTTATAAATAATATTTTAGGTATATTTAAAGTCTTAATAATTTTTTAGACCCAATTAGGAGAAGCTACTCGAAAATATGGCATATTTATAACTATGTTGAATTTAGAACGCCGCAATTATCCTATGCAAGTATCAATTATAGCGACAGCGAAAGTCCATGATCTTATTGGATTGGTTTGCTGGAAATGTACTATTGAATATCCAGATTGTACCTTAAAGTATTTAATATTCATTAAAAAAAATAATAAAATAAAATTCATGAACTAAAATTAAATTATTATAGAGAAAGTGTTGATTGTTATGCTCTGTACATAGCTGAAGATGATGGAGAAGTTGATTTTGACTTTCCATGTTTAGATTCTCGAGAAACTGTTGCTAAATTTGGATTTGGCTTTTTAGCACTTGTTGAACGTGACAGTAAATTGGCACCGGCTGTTCCTAATCATTCTCCTACATCTCAGTAAGCTTGTTAATTTTTATATTTTAATATATGTATGATGCTTAAAAAAAATTGTATTTTAGGGAAGGAGATTCAATTTTGTGTGAAAACATAAATACAAAAGGTAAATAAAAATTAGATTTTTTGTTCAATTCATTTATTTTAAAATAAAACCTATTTGGTATACTATTTAGCTCAACAACAACTAGAGGGAGAGTTAAATAAACTTCTTGCAATTGAAGCTCCTTTATATCAATTGTATCAAGTAAATATTTTGAATAAAGTTCGAGCAAAAGCAGAAATACATTTAGGTACGTTGTAAATCTTTAATATTTATAATGTTTATTTTTGAAAAATTGAATATAATTACAATATAATGATTTAAAATAAATCAATTATTTTGATGCTATATATTGTATTTAGTTGATTAAATTTTATAAATTCGGATATGTGTAAGATATGTATTTTTTAAAAAAATAAAGTCATCTCACTTACACTCATACTTTTAAGCTCATTAAAAATGACTATAGATAGATTATCATTTACAAATTGTATTAAAGAGATTTAATTTTTTAATTATTTTTTCTACCTAGGATCTTTTGTTTAAAAATATGGTAGTTTTCATGAGAATATGAAACACAAGATTAAGTGTGAATTAGTAAAGTGGAGAGAAGTGTCAGGTGTTTTATGTGATAAAAGAGTTCTAATAAGACTCAAAGTTACATTTTACATAAGTATAATGACATTATGTTGCATAGTTTGAAGTGTTGGACAGTAGACAAAAAAAATAGAACAGAGAATGAATGTTGCAGAGATCATAAATTTGAATTAGTGAAGTGGCAAGAGAAGAAGGGATAAAGAATGAGTACATGTGAGGTGCCTTTGATAGTAGCCAAAATGAGAGAAAACAGACTAAGATAGTTTGAGCATGTTACGGAGAAAAGGAATCAGAAGCAGTAATAATTGCAATACAAATAAATGTAGAAGTAAAGTGGTGGCGAGGAAGACAGAAAAAGAAGTGAATAATATGAAAACAGTCTGTGTATATGAGGTAAAGATGGGTCAAATGAAAGTTTAGGCCTCTGGAGGCCTTTGTTGTGAACTTTGTGGACCATCATTAGATACAATTTTGTTATATTTTATTTCCAATCAATCAGTAATTACTATCTAAGATTACATTTTATGAAAACATTGGAATTTGTCTAGCTGGTTGGCATAATATAAAACATTTTATCCTTGTTTAGGTATATCGGGACAAAAAATAGAATTGGATCCAGTCGTAAAACAAAGATCTACTTCTAAGTTTCCATGGACAAAACAAAAGCCAGCCACGTATGACATGGACTGTGTAGTAGCATGTGACCTTACAGAAACAAAATCCAATAACCGAGCCGTATTTAGACTTGTATATGATAGTACAGCGTTAAGCTCTTCTAGTATTGGAGATAGTGTACCGGGTCAACAAGGAACTGCTGTATGGAGTAATTTTAAACACCACGATTTTGAAGCAGAACAAAAATTGGCTGAAGACATTGTTCAAAAAATTAACAATATTTTAGAACTCAGATGTAGTGTAAGAAGACAAGAATATATTTCATTACGTGAACGTAAATCTCATCGTAGAAGAAGTTTTCATCTTGGTCCAAGATAAAGAAAATAGAGTTAGTAACTTTGTTTTCATTACAGTAGAATTTTTTATATTGGGTAGCATGTTGTTTTTTAAATAATTTGTTATCACTGACAAGTTATAATTACAAGATATATTCCTTAAGAATTTTGTTATTATATCAAAATATAGTTTTTAACTATTATAACTATTTGCAATTTTTGTGGCATTTATTATAATTATAACTAAATATTAAAAATTGTTTATAGAATCTATTTGAAAGGCAATTTCTAAATTGTTGTGTATATAATTGAAAAATTGTTATTGTCCAAGTTTCACTTGATTAAAATTATAAATTATTTTTATTATAATGACATAGATATAGAAATATCATTTATATTAATAAAAATATTTTTTAACTCTGTACAAATAACCAATTTATTTTATATGATAAAATATAAACAACCAAAACTACTAAAAAATATATATATAAATTATTATCAAGAATACAATTTTAAAATGTGGGGTAGTAATAATTCTGGTATCGGGTTTTTGACAAAACTCTGCTCATCTTGGCACAAATTACAGTGTGTTATTTTGGTTTTAATTGAGAATTATTGCTTTTGAAAATAATTCATTATGTGACTCAGAATTTATATACTTCTGTATAATTTTTTATTGTATTTATAAAAAGGTTTTTTTTTAACTACTGGGAAATTAAAAATAATTTGTTCCATAGTTTGTTTCTATTTCATTGTCATAGTGATAAAAATTAAATAGTCAATATTTTTCTTATTATAGCCAAAGTCTAAAAATATTTGTTAATACTGAGAATAGTTTAACAAATTTAAATTTTTTAAATTTTGTAATAGGAGACTTATTCTAAAAAAAAAATGTTGATAACAAATTACTTAAAAATAGACTGCAATTTATTTTTAAAATTCATATGGGGATAAATATTTTGATAATGAGGAAATACAGGCACCGAAAACTAATATTTTAAATGTCTACTTATAGGTAATAGATAAATTGACTTAATTGTTTTTATTATTCGATTACATGGGTTTTTAAATGGTGATAGGTTTTATTTCATACATAATAATTAAAACAAACATAATCAATATGTACAATGTTCATAAACAAAAATATAATAGTTTTATTTAAAATTTAACTATTGTATTATAATTGGACTATGTAATACTTAAAGTGTTGTTTACTAATATTTGTTTAGTTTTGAATGTTTTGAATTGTATCAACTTACCGTAGAAAAAATATCTATACATAATACTAAATAAATATACCCTTTAGTTGAATGAACTGCAATGACTCAGCAAATCAATTCATTCCTTTTCCATATATACATTACATTAGTATATCTACATGGTTACATATTGCATTAATTACTATACATAACTAGTCTATTATAATAATGTTTAACAAAATAAATTACTTGATAATAATTTTATACATATATATATATTATATATTTGTATTTTGAATAAACTTAGCATTTTATGATTATTAGAATAAAATAATATATAATTTAACCAAATGTAAAAGTAATATTATTAATTAGATATATGCAAATGCGATTAATGCATTTTAAAATTGTTAATCAGTTACACCTTTGAATATGTCATAAATAATATCAAATTTATGTTTTTTTGAAATTATTATCATTAATTCTGAGATTTTTAATTTACTTATCAATCTATAAGTTAAAATTATAAAAAAAAAAAAAAAATAACTATGTTATTTTCTAACATTCTATTTTTAAACTATTTAAAACATAATTTAACTAATTTAAAAGTTGTCAAAAAAGTGACTTAACTTTTTAACTAAAAAATTCAAATTAGTTACTATTCAGGTTTTTAATATGAAAATATGTTTTTTTTTTTACATTTTGGAAGCACTAATAAGTATGAGCATTGGTTTTATAAGGTTTCATTTATTATATAGACAATTTTAAACTTGATTATTATAATAATTGTAACTACACTATTTAAAATTTAATGAACTCATTGTGTGCCCCTTATATATGACAGATTATAACAGACATCCAAAGGCTGTAAATTTTTAAGGCAAAAACTTTTGTACATACAGATTTTAATGAAACCGGAGTTTTATTTTGTTGTAAACACTGAACCATTTCAAGCAGTCATTATTATGCACAAAAATTGCACACAGGCTTAAAGTGCACTGTAATATAAATGATTAATTGACAATAATTTATTGTAGTTCAATTGCACTCATCTGATAAAAATTGACTGCAACGACCACTATAATATCGGTGTGCATTTACAATTTAGGAAATTAGATGTACTGTGACACAAAGTTACATTGTAGCCATAATTATTACAAAGAATAAATTAGGATTATGTGAAAGTGGGGAAATTAACAATTTGTTGGTTAAGATAATGTTATAAATGCATATGTTTTTTGTCTAACTAACAAACATAGCACAATTACCTTACTTAGAACACAAATTAAGGTGTTTAGATTAAAACTGGAATTTAATCACAAATACTAACATTTTAAGAATTAGAGCTATTTAATAAATGCAAAAACTAACATGTCTGCAATTTGTGTGTATAGTAAAAACAATGATGTAACTTTTTTAATTATAAAAACTACATACAGCCCTCAAAAGTATTCTACTTTTTAAATTTTGTGATTTATATTTAAACTCTAATTTCAACCTAAGCTAAACAATTGATGTTCTAAGTATAAGAAAAAAGTAATACTGACAGATAAAACTGGCCTTTTATTCACGAACACTATTAGAAATTTAAATTACGGTAGGTAGGTTGTAGGTACATACTATTTTAAATAAAAATAATATTTCTATGATACATCATGATTAATGAATATGATTTGTTTGTTAATATTACATTTATACCTACAACAACTAGTATCTATACATAAATTCCGTCTGATGAGAGAAGGTACAAGTTTTTTCGTTCGTCGCTGCGCATCTCCCACCACTTTTGCACGTGCGGTTACGATTTTACGCGGTAAGAAATAGGAGAAATTCGGCCTCCGTTCTCTCGCGAGGGAATATTTACATTATTTTATTTTATTAAAAATATAATTGCTGAATCAACAACTTAATTGTGTTTTCGTGTATATAGATGTACGATAATTCTAGACATGTTGTTTAATAGTTTAAATTATAAAATAGATATTCACATATTATTGTAATAATGTCATAGTTTTTTATTTCGCTTGATTAGGTTAACGCTAATAACCTGACAAAAAAGTGAACAAATAATAAATAAAAAAACGAACAGTAAATAAATTATGAAGTATAAATACATTTTTAGTCTTTGTTATTTAAAAATAAAATACATCTTGACCAGTAGCGTAATTTGGAATAGGTCTTGGAAGGTTAGGTTAAGTTCGAGCGAGTACGCGAGATGTAAATAATGTTCAGTATAATAATTATTATATTTTAGCTATGATTTAGCTATTTTGACCATTGAACATCCCTACATTGTTACTGATTTAAATAAAACCAACAAACGTTTAAAAAATTACTACTTATGTAATAAAAAAAAAAGTTTTTTAACATAGGTAACTACCTAGTTTTTGAACATTTTTGGGTTTGAGTGATCATTATAGAGATCATAAAGGCGCATTTTGAAGTTTGGCACCTGGTGCAATATTTTGGTTGCTACGGCCCCGATTACGCCACTGATTGTGACGTAAAATCTTTTTAAATTTATTATAATCGCCGCCGGGAATATTTGAGCAGGGGAAATAAAAAATAAAACATGTTTTTATTTTAAGGTAAAAGTAAATAATTGTACTTGTCTCATTAAATAACGGATCTTTTTGGCACGTTTTATGTGAACCAGTGGCGTATTTATGATTTTGCCAAGGAGGGAGATATGAATTTGGAAATTGCACATATATAATAATATGAGAAATATAAAGCCAATTTTTATATTATTTCAGTAATCAATCTAGCCTAAAATTATCATTGAAATCAAATAACTATAGGCAGTGATGTATGTAGTCCTAAATAAGGTATTGAGTATACGTTATTTATAAGTAAAAGGAGTGGTTGGGGTCCATTCTCACCCTCACCCACACAAAAAATACTTATTTTTTTAGATTCAAAAATCCAAATTTATATTAATTGTTACAATCTTAAAAGTATATCGTTTGATATCTCAATTTTAGGTAAAATTACGCATAATATTTTAATCAAGTACCTAATATTATGTAGATAGGTAAACATTTCCTCAGGTAATAAAATACCTATCGCTTACATTGAAACTTTCAAGTTGAACTCGCATTATGGATTGTGGTCATGGAGTCTGTGACATGGCCCATCTTAGAATCGATATAGGTAGAAACGGTATTCTCCCGTGAGATAGAGTAAAATACAATAAAGGTATAGGTATACCCTAGACCATGGGTTCCCAAATTTTTTATGGCACGACTCATTAAACACTCCCGCCCTCCGAAATATCAGGAACAAAAATAAATGACTTGACCTACAAATACAAATACTAATAAATAAATTTAAAAAAAAAAACGATTAGTTATTTATTAATAATAATAATTAATAATTATTTAAAAGTTTTCGGGGGGGGGGTTGTAAATTGACGTACACAATAAAATTATCATTATACTGTACGATTAGGCAGTAAATATGTTATAAAAAAAAACTGATTGACACCGGTCGCCACCAATTCGGCGATGTACGTAATGTAGACGAGTGTAATAAATTATCGTTGCCACTAATATATTACGGGAATTTCCAAATGACTCGTATTATACTATTACACTTGAATATAGATAATTCCAGAGATTTCATTGTTCAATATAAATCACACGTCTACGCCGCTAACGAATACACCTACATATCTTGTACCACTATTCACTAATTTTGTTATTGTTATGATGACATAATATTAAACGCAAATACAAAAATTCAAAATGAGTTCAATTTTACAGTATTTTAAACCACAAAATAAAATACCACCCGAGTTCCGATTGGTGTGGAAGCAGACAAATCGTCCGTAGACAGTCCACCATCTAAAAGACGGAAACCCGAAATGCCACCACAATCTGGTGCAAATCGTAATGTGAGTTATTGTTAACTATCTACATAATTATTTATTTAGTTTAAAATTCTGTTGTTATAATATACCCACGCAGTATAATAACATTTCCCCAAATATGAAATAATAAATTTACATTAATATTAATAAATACAATGTTTTAATTTGTATGGACAAATTGTAATAAATAATTTATATATATAGTAGTGGTCCCGCGCCCAGCGTTGCCCGTGCCAATTTGTATTATTATTATTTTACCCATATTCATTTTTGGTTTTGGCCGTGTTAGAATTGAATGAAAACAAATAGGTGGAAAGTGGATAGTCCACCTGTGGCGGCCTAAATGTGTTCTATTGTGATATTTGAATAGTGTAAATAACAGTGATAATACAAATTATAATAATTTTATTTTATAATGTGTCGATGACTTTTTGTTTTTTAATTTCATCCGTATCACCAAAGTAACCATAAATCAACAAAAAAAAAAATCGCTGTACTAAAAATACCAATTACTTTGTGTCAGCTACCCTTGTAATGCCACCTATCGGGTCCAATTGTGAATCTAAACCATCCAGGGACCCATTCAAACACACATAAAAAATTTCGTCAAAATCAGTCCAGCCGTTTAGGAAGAGTTCAGTGACATACACACGTACAGTAGAATTATATATACTATACGTACCAAAAATAAAGAGTAATACAGTATGAATAGTATGATATTTATGAACATTTTATACTTTTTCAACCCCCTTCCCCGAAATATTTTCCTGCGTTCACCTCTACATCACAATTTAGATTTTCCTGTACCAATATAATTGATAGCAAATCATTAAAAATGAAATAAAAAACTATCTCTAATATAGTAAACACTGGAGTAAAATTATCTGTGTGGAATGGTTGTGTATATAAGAGCAGATATCTTGTAATGATTTTATTTTTATTTTTTTAGATTTGACTGAACTTACAAATCAATCAGCTGAAAATATTGTAAATCAATTAGTTACTTATTTACATGACAATGGACTTTTAAAAGAAGTATGGATGTCATTTGTAAATGACGGTGCTAGTGTATACTAGGAAAAAAAACGATGTGGCTAAACGATTCAAAGATATTTACCCACTGATATTAGTATATATTAGTATAGTTGATATTATTTAAATCACAGACTGAAACTAGTAGTTATCGACTTAATAAATGATGTGGTAGCAACTAATCATTTTAAATCATTTATGGGCTTTACGTGTATAATGCATTACTCAAAAAACCAAAAAGAGCTAAAAGATGAATGTTATGATCAGTGCCGTAATTAGGCATTATGGAGCTGGTGTGCAAACTTTGATTTCGGGGCCTAAAGAATTTGCCTTTTCTAGACGTGGTAAAATTTTCAAAAAATTTAAGCCATTTTTGTGGTATTTATAGACATTTTAATTTTGCGACTTTTGTACATAATTTTTATTTGGTAGGTACTCTGTGGTAAAATTATTAGAGCTAACAGAAATACTTGTAAATTGAACAGAAGGTTCATTAAGAGTTTTAATTTGTGGTCAAAAAAAAAAAAATTGGGCTTTATGAAGTATTTTTTTTTATAAAGGAATTTTAATATCAAATATTGACGAAAATCATTGAGTAAATAATTTATAGAACAAATCTAATTTTTCAATTTTTTTTTTTTTTTGAAAGTATGTATATTGACGATTTAAGAACGATGGTGAAGTCAGACTTGAATGAATTGACTAAGTTTCGAAATTATAGGTTTTTGAAATTTTGATATTATGCAGATATTATATGTTATGTTAGTCTGTTAAGCTGCTGTTTTAGCTAGTCCAGAATTTTTAACCGATTTAACTCTGATGTGCGACTGTCTTCAAGAATTATCTATAATTTTGTCAAAACAATTACAAGATCGTTCCATAGCACTCATTAATGGTCAAAAAAAAAAAATCAATGGAATAATTAGAGTATTAGATTCTTTTAAAAATTTACTAAGAGAACATATGTCTGAATTTTTAAAACTTGAAGACACAATGAAGTTCAAAAATACTCAGCTCTTCAATAATACAAAAATAATTAGAATTAATCAAAGTTAATTTCTTAATAGTCTAATTAACAACATAAAATCTAGATTACTCGAAAATAAACAAGACGATATGATTATTCAAGATATACAAATAATGAATACAACCAACTGGCCAGATAGTTTCTGTTAAAAGATTTGGAGAAACCGAGGTTAAATGATTATATAAGCGTTTTATGCTCAACTAGAAAAATGCAATCAATGGAATCAGACAACTTATTCATGATCTTACAGTTTTACCAAAAGACATGCCGGAATGTGAAAGAGGGTTCAGCTTGATGAATAACGTATGTACTAAACTGAGAGCAAGGCTTATCATGAAGAACATTTCCAATTAAATGTTTATCAATATTGATGGTTCTCCATTAGAAAAATGGGACCCCAAAGACTATGTGAAATCGTGGATGATTAATTATAAATCTGCAAAAGACACAAGAACTAAATTATGTCGATCAGCTATTGATGAAAATAGTGAAAATAAATCAAATCTTTGAAAAATACTTTAAAAATTTAAAACATTATTTTATTAAACTATTGATTTTTAACATATAGATTGTTTTTAGTTTTATATATTGTATAGAGAATAATGATTTAGGTATCGAACGAACCGAGAAAAAATTAGTTGGATCCTATCTTTAGATATCTCCATATATTATCCATATATACGAATAAGGCGTAGTGTTTTACCCACGGTTTATTTTAGCAATACATCACTGTAGTATATTACGTCTATGCTTCGGTGATTATCATTTGCACACCATCTATTTTTTACCTCGCACTGACGTATTTACACATCATTTGCGCTTTTATAAATCGAACGATAAGTAAAAAATGGTAATAATAATAAAAAAAAATATTGAAAAGTACCTACAAAAATTGCGCACATAATTTATTACAGTATTAACCTTAGTTATCAAATACTTATAATAGCTACTTTAAAATATAAAATTTGACGTATCAACTATAGATTTATTTGTAGTCCGTTCCCCGAAGAGAAAGGTACCGTTTAGCGCATATCGAATACTCTTCGTGCCGTTAAATTTCCTTCACATAACCGCCGGGGTTTACGACGACGAGTTATGCAACGTGCTAAAATTGTTAACTATTATTGTGCGGTACATTTTACCGTAATTAGTAATCCACACTCGATCAATTTTAATAATATTATGTTTTATTAAAAGGGCATTTATCAAATTTCACTTTTTTTCAGGAAGCAAAAAAAAAAAAACAGCAAAATAGTTTTTAACGATGTTTATCATGGAAAAAAATAAAAATACTCGTATACATAATATCTTGGACACAAAGTATACAAGTATTGAATGCAATATACGCCCTTTTAACAAATTAGTATTGATTTGATGTTATATTTTAAAAGGGCGCCTGGATGTCTTTTAGTCGACATTACCGACTTAATTTGTTGTGTTTAATATTATAGTTATTTTAATTTGTAAAAAAATCACCCTGTATACGTAAAACGTTATAATTAGAGAACGGATTAATATGCAATTAAAAACCGCAAAACAACGCTTACAAATATTTAAAAAGCAAAAGTTGATTGAGGGGTTTTAAAATTCTCCCCTCTAACAGTTCTAACCTTATTAAATAGAATTTTCTAACGGAAATTATTTTTGTTTTTCATAATACGTAATATGAATACTTGTTAAAATATCAAAAATCATTACTAATATTATATATTGTATTATATTATACAATGTCATTAACATTGCACAATAATAATTAACGAACAAATAAGTACCTAATCATGCATAGCATGTTCACACTTAATATTTTGCATTTTGTATGGTGTATCGTTGTTTGCAGATATACATTAAATTATCTATAACAGTGGCTGCACCCGGCCCCATTATCCTAGGACGTTTTTTTGTTTATTCGTGGATTACTTTAGTGGATGACAATTTGGTTGTCACACACAAGAAAACTATTATTGTTATTACTATGTTAATTATCTACACTATTTTTTAATAATTAAAGCTTTTTTTAATTTTAGCTAGTATTTTATGTAAAGAATAATCTCCACTGATGGAGAGAGTGGTAACTGGAGAAAGTATACAATTTCAAGGGAGGTTTATTCTATCTGCTCGTGGAGCTTTTTTTTATAAGAGGTGCAGTCGACTCGCAGTGAATATTCATTAAAAAGTGCCTTGAGCTTAGAGCAATTAATCTAAAGATTCAAATAATGTCTTTAAAAAAAGGCCAAAATATTTTGGAAATCGTCCGAAACTTTGTTAAAAAGTGCTATATACCAGATGAATTTTTTTTGTATCCAAGGGAATAAGTCTTTTGTTTCTGATAATTGGTTCACAGATGGCAAAAGACTTTCAATTCTCGCCGTCTCGAACAAACCGAGAATATATTTATGCATGAAATGCAATTAAAAATTATGTAAGTATAACATATAACTGTTTTAGGTATTATATAATATCATTCGACGTAAATTAATGAGTTGCATTAGCCGACATGCTGATTATTATATCAAATAGATTATTCCGTTTAAACACGATGACTTTTTTTCCCTTCTTTTAAACGATCGCACTGTATATAATATATAATGCGATACGATTAGGAAGATCAAAGTTTAATAAATTTTAGAAATATAAATTTTGATAGGACTAATAATATCTATACATTAATATATTTTGATATTAATTAAGTAGGTAGGTACCTATAATTAGGTCATCGTGCACGCAAAATATGTATGCAAGATGAAACATAATAATATATGATATACAATATTACTCCGAGATTGTACTAGGTATTATAATATGTTAAGCAATTTTAAGTACTGACAGCAATACTCTTGCATAGTATTTTATAATATAATAATTATAGTAAATTCAAAATAGGTTATCATTGCAATGATAAGTAATAATACAACAATTAACGACAATGATGATACTGTCGATCACCGAGTTATTTTTTTTCTGAATTCAAATATTATGTTAGCATTTTAAGATAATATTCGCATAAGTGTAAAAAAAATTATAAAACGTAGTTTGAGAGGTGTTTTTAAAGAGGCTTTATTTCCTAATAAAAAAAATACTTACCTATACATATAGTATTATGGTGTTTGGTGGATGTCAATTATACCTTATTTAGATAAAACATTATAAAATTGCGGCTTACCTTTTATTTTTTTTCAGTATCAATATTGGTACATGTGCGAATTATGTTCGATTCTTTTACTATAAGTACAGCTGATAATATTTCGTGTACTTTGTACGGTTTAATGGTACCTACATAATATAAGAGTTACTTTTATCTAACATATTGAACCGTGAAATTATTTTATTACATGAAAAATTGGTTCCAATGTTGTGTGTGTTAAGCTTTTATAATATACAGGTTAGGTATAGAAGGTGTACTGTGTAGTTACCTACAAGCTATGTATTATCTACTTGTGTTGGTACCTAAACAAATTTCTTTCTCGAGCAAATTGTATAAAAGTTCTTTTAAACTGCTGCATTATTTTTGCAAAGTATCTTGTTTCTTCTACCTTAACTAACATATTCTGTATTTATCATCCACTTCATGACTATTCTCCTGTAGTTGCTCCGTAGTTTGATATGCTCCCGCGTACCTACTATCAATAATTTATTGTCTGGTGAATTAAAATCACCTGTAAAATTGCCAGGCTCAACTTAAAATTCTCCATCATCGTCTAATTTGATCTATTTTCCCTTTCTTTGTTCCTACAACTTTTTATATAACTTATTATATTTAAAACATTTTGCCAACGTATTTCCTGATGTTTCCCAATTTATTATTAATAAAATTACAAGAAATATCAAAAAACGACATCCTAATGCATCAACTAGATAAAATGTTTTTCCATAAAAGATTCTACTCTTGAAAATCTGATGAATATTTCTAGTAGAAAATTCAAATCTAAAAATGGATCTGTTCAACGCTTAACGATATTGGCTAATGAGAACCTATAATTTCATTTCCAAATATTATATTATTATTATTCTATTAGATGTGTCCAGAACTCAATTTTTTTTATTGGTTTATAAAAAAAATATTTCGCCTGTATAGACGTAAAATTTTTGAGACATGTACGAAGATGTAGTTCGAGAGAATAATAATTACCAAGAACATATTTTTGTAAGTCATCGATTTTTTTACTAGTTCCAACAAGCATTCATTGTGTATTCATACTTTATAATATTACTAAATATTTACATATCTATTATCACAATTCACAATAAAAAATTATACTGAGAACTCTAGGGCCTAAAATACATTTGATTTAAGGGGATACACTTCTTAATTAAATTGTAACTTTTGACAGGTTTCCATAGGAAAAAAAAACCAGTGGGGGCTGTAACATCCAAAATTATTCCCCGTTTTATATATCGCTTACCTTCCATATTTATATTATATATATGATGTTTGGATTACAAATATACAAAATAAATATAAGTAAAAGTTCAAAATATTTTACTAATACTAATTCGTAGTTACATGAACACACCAGTTGCGGTTTTGATAAAATATCAAGGGGGAGGCGATTTAAAAATTTTTTGGGCCCCGTACCATATTGACATATATCAAATAAAGGGTCATAAACTACACATAACTTTCATTTTAGATTCTGAGTGGACCAAAAAAGGACATATTTTTTATTAATGAGAGGAGATGTAACAAATAATAATCATAAATTCGTCTTCTTTACCTAAATTGATTGTGGTAATTTAAAAGCCGGATCCTAAAAAAATATATGCAGTTCAATATTATATTACTCATATTTTTTTTGTATTTTAAGCCAATGGGGCATATAACCCCCCTGCTGTACCTACTTACCTATAATACATATTAATATATTTATAGACGTTTAAAGCTAATACGTCTTGGTTTTATAATATTTATAATCGTCAATCGTGATTAAAGTTTATTGTATATTTGCATAGTATTGTTGAAAAAGGAGTTGTTATTAATTCATATTAAGATAAACAAGATTCATTTGTGTTGAAATTCTAAATTGTTAATTCTACATTTAAAACTAAAAACACGTTATAAAACTTGGGACACACATTTATAATTTATAGGGTACAAAGTGTGTAAGGGGACACAGTATTTGAGAATGTTGAGAAAGTCCAGTTGTAGCCGACAAAGTTTGTTTAATGCTCTCCTTCCCCACCCCATTGAACAAAATGTTGAATTTAATACTTTTATATGCAAATTACAGGTAAATTAATGCTTCATTGGATCGTTTTATTTCGTTATCTACCAAATACTAAAATTCCGAAATTATTTTTAAGATATTAATAAATTAACATACTTATCTTTATAATAATATAGATAAAACTAACCTAGATTTCAATGCCAATTTACCACCGACTGTTGTTAATGTGATTACCTAGTTAAATATATCTATAAGTAAGATTCAACTTATTTTACATTATATTTTATCGAATTTAATAATCTTAATTAGATGGGACGTACCTATCTACACAAGAATACTGATAAGTTT